GAACTGGTGTGGATGGAACCCAAATTAATACCAAACTTTGCTGTTCTGAAGGAAATGAAGAATACTGAGTTTATTTCATGTCACTTCAGAAACTGGCCAAGACCATTAAGTCACCTTCTAGAGACTACCTAAAAAACAGAGACTTACTAACAAAAACTAAAGAGGACTCAGGAGGAAAAGAAACACAAAACAATAAATCACATATATAATTTAAATGATTTGAAAAATTTATGGGTTTGTCTTACTTCTCTCTCTCTTCCCCTATTTCTCCCCCACCCCTCTCTTATTTATATATATATATATATATATCTTTCTATCTATCTATCTATCTATCTATCTATCTATCTATCTATCTATCTATCTATCTATCTATCTATATACACACACACACACAATGAGAACAGTGTGCATGTGTTTCTTTGAGGGTAGACATTTGCTTGGTTCAATCTTGTTTCCTCAGAGCCAAAAACAAAGGCAGAGAACTGGAATTAATACAAATCTGTTGAATAAATAAAACCAGATGGGATCCAACTCATTTCCCTAAAGGCTGTCCCATGTTCCCCTTTCTCAATCCCAAAGGCAGTAAAGAGAGGACATCAAGAATTTCAGTTCTGGGCCTCCCCGGTGGTACAGCGGTTGAGCACTGCGTTGGGAAGCTGCCCGCAGCCTCTGCAGCGCCGGTTCGATCCCGGCTGCTCCCCAGCCACCGGAGGAGGGTCCCACATGGCGCGCAGACCTCTCCTGCCGCCTGCTGCTCCCCTCAGCAGTGTACTTCAGTTCTTCTGCCTGCTCTGCTCCCCGCTCTGGCTCTGGTGAATTCTCTCACCCTCCCGCGCTTCTGACTGTACCCAGTGCTTGTATAAATAAATAAATAAATCTAAAAAAAAAAAAATAAAACTTAAAAAAAAAATTCAGTTCTGAATTCAGACTGCCCGAGTGACTCATCTCAGGACTTCACAACTGCTTCACCTTGGACACTTTTCTTTGCCTCAGTTCCCTCATCTGTAAAGTGGGGACATGGCACCTTACAGCTTCTTGTGAGAATTTAACACAGTAACACTTCAAGAGTGTCTGGCACAAGCTGCGTGAAACAAATTGCAGTTATTATCTTTCTTATTTACTGGAACTGAGAAAGAAAACCCTATCCTTCAGCAAAGAGCTCTTTCACTCAGCTGCGTATTTTGTCTCTTAGAAGTAAAATCTAAATTTCTTCCGCTAAAGTTAATCCAATTTTTCCTGATTCCTTTTAACTTTCTCCTGGGAATCTACCTAAAGTTATTTTTACCAAGAGGAGACAGTTATCATTCAGGGCAAAAAAGCAGAGCTAAGAATAAATTCTATGAAGACCTCATCTACTTTTTTATGTGTGTGTTTCAAGTCTTTAATTTGGCTTTGCTCTAGGTAGCAGCCAAATTCCTGAGAGGCTCACAGGGTGGCAGTGCTCAGCTCTTGGAGACAACTGAAGGTGTCTCCTAGCAACCTAAGTCACGTGAAGAGGCCTTTCAGCTTGTTTCCTTGCACCTTCATGGTTCTCATATAGGTTAAAAATCTGCTGTCTTTCAATAAATGATGGATATTCTTTTCTTGACTGAGACCCTGATGCATTTAGAGGCAACATTTACAAATAAATTGATGGAAATGAATGGAAACCCTAGGGGGGAAAGTGCTTAATCCAAACAAGATTCTTTAGATAAGACAAGAAAAGATCCACAGACCCCAACAGGGGAAAATATTACTAAACTATTATCAGGATGGAGAACACCACCCTACATATCACAGAATCCTGCACTAGTCAAGATATTATAGGGTCTGTAAATCCTGCCCCTTCCCCCACACCAGCCCACCAAGCCAGATCATACTTAGATTATGCAGGTCAGATAACACAGCTACTGTTTTTATCTGGAAACACTCCCATAGAGAGTGCACAACTGCATTTATAGCACATTCATGTTTTTAGTGATCCTCAGAGTATTTTTAAAAATGCTTTTAAACACTGACATTATCTGTTTCCAAATGGTCCTTGTCCAGCTTCTTTCAGTTAATTCCACGCAAAATTCCGATAGAGCCAATAATTGGTTTCAAGTAAAAACATTTTATCATGGATCACAGCATAGGAGAGGGGACAGCCACTGCCCTGAGTCACTCTATGGAGTTGAGAGTCATGAGAGTCCTGGTTTTATGGCCCTGATCACCAGAGCAGGATAGGAGGGAATTGGGGTATAGGCTGGCCAGTTAATAAGCAAACAATGACCAGGCTAACTCAATAAATAACAATGTGGAGGATAAAGAGATTTAGCGTACAAGATTTTTGTGAACATTAAATGAGGTAACACATGTAAAAGGTCTAGGATGTCACTGGCTCTCGATGCCTGATAGTAATTATGCTTATTTTTATCTTTACTTGGCATCAAAGGTCCTGAGTAATTTGCCTTTCTGACCACTCCTTTATCTCCTCACTCCACCTTCTGCCAAGCTTACAAAGTGCCACAGCATTAAATGTTACATCTCCATGAGTAACCTCTAGATTCATCTCCAAACCCCTCTCTTCCTCTTCTTTTAAATGTCTACTCGACAACTTCCTAGGGTGTTGATACCTCACATTCAATAACTGTGTTTAAAAGTTGTAGTGGTAAATAAATTGCCCCCAAAATTCCCCTGCCTTGTCCCTGTGAGGCTATGTAACGCTCCCCATCAGCCCTGGTTCAGGGGGGCAGCCTGGCCATCAAATCACTGCAGCTGGCACAGTGTTTCTGTCATGGGATCAGGCAAAATTGGGTAGCCACAGCTGCCACCACATTTGGGGTGATTGATCTGGGATCACTCAAGCATGTTATACAGACACAGGTCCCACATATCCTGGGAACAGCACTGCTCCTTCACAGCACTCACACTGTCTGGCAGCGTGCTGCTTATTCGTTTATTCAATTATTTTCTGCAGTTGCTCCTCCACTAATTAGAATGTAGGCTCTGTGAAGAGTGACCTTAGCTATCTGATTCACCACTGGATGCTCAGTGCCAAAACAGTTTTCAGTACAGAAGGCATTTAATAAATATCTGTTGGGCAGATAAAGGAATTATTGCATGAAGTGGCAAATGTAATGTGCCTCCTATAGAATGTCAACTCTCAAGATCAAGGATTCTGTCTTATCCCCTTGGTCCTATTACTGGCATATCGCCTACATCTGAGAGAGCATGAAATCAACATCTTTGAATGCATAAGTAAATGAATGGGTAAACACGATGATGAGTGAATGAACGGACATATATTATCTAGACTAGTGATTCTTAAATTTGTTTTCACATTAGAATCTCTTGGGGAGTTTTTAAAAAACAGAGCCCAAGACCAGACTCTCCAGGGCACCAGCTCTCCAGGCACCTCCAGTGTCCACACTGAGCTGAGAACAGGGTAACGAGCCATCCAAGCTGTGCAGGACTGACGGGGTGTCCCCTCTCCCCACATTGGCAATTTCCACGCTAACACTGTGATTTGCTCTCACTGTAGTTGAGAACCACTGATTCAAACGGTCACCCAGGTCCATTCGTGAGTGATGGATGTTCAGTCATTGAAAAATCAGCTCATTGGCTTCATGCTTTGATTTGACACTGATCTAATTACATTCAGGCCCATACTCACACTGTCCTCATAGACTTCTTCCTGCTATGTATTCCTGGTCATATTTGTGCTGCTACTATTGACTTGAGTGGCATAAGGGAATGCTGGAACCATCAGCACCGTGGGCAGTGACCGACAGAGCAGTAGTGAAAGTACAGTGTGCTACCTCCCCAATGTGACCTCAGTGAGCCCCAGTGATTTTTCCTTCAACATGATAGAAGCACTTTAACATCCGCCTATTTATCACTTATTTACGCCAGTTACCCTGATATGAGTTTTCACTCCCTGCTGTTATCTGAAGAGATAAGAAATACTCTTCTACATGGAAGGATCACTATGTGAACTAAATTAGCGTTCATCGTTCCAAATCATTTTACTGCAAGCATGTGGTTTATGCTGAACCCATCAGCCTGTGGACACTAGGGTCAGAAATGCCCCCACCAGCAGTGCTTTCCTACAGTGCCTTCGCTAGGGCCCTCGTATTTAAAGGGTGGTCCCAGATGGGCTGCGGAGAGGCCTCTGGAGGTGGGGCCCAAGAACTGGTATTTTTAAAAACCTCTCGGGGCCTCCATGGTGGCGCAGCAGTGAAGTCTCACCACTATCAAGCTATTGCCAGCTACTGCAGCATCAGTTTGATCCCTGGCCAGGGAGCTACCCACATGGCGCAGCAGACCTCTCCTGTCTCAGCTGCTGCTCCCCTCAGCAGTGTGTTTCAGTCAGTCTGCCTGTTCTGCTTCCCACCCTGTCTCTGGTGAATCCTCACCACCCCTCCCCCACCACTGGCCTGCACTTCAGCTCTTGTATGCATAAGTAAATAAATCTTTAAAAAAAAAATAAAATTAAAATAATGCTGGGAACCAGCCCTGGCCAAGAGAAGCAAGATGCCTTGCAGAGCCGGGCTTCTCAGATTTTAATGTGTGCACAAATCTAGATTTGGTTTGTAGGTCTGGCGTGGGGCCTCAGGGTCTGCATTTTCACGAATGCCCAGGTGATGTTGCTGATCACGGGCCACACTGGAAAGGACTGAGGCTTAGCCCTTCCCAATGAACCAACTTTGACTTCCTCATCACCCTGAACTCCCACATACCTCCCTATTTGACAATATCTAAAGATATTTTTTGATTGTCATGACTTTGGCAGGGAGGTACTACTGGCATCTACTGGGATGCCACTAAATATTCCACACTGCTCAGGACTGTCCCCACAATGAAGGATTATCTTGCAGAAATGTCAACAGTGCCGAGTTTGAGAAGCCCTGCTGGAGAGCTGGGTCTGCTCTCCAGGAAGAGGGGGATGGATGGGAGAGAAGTAGAGAAGGTCTTGGTCGTGTAATAACTGATCATTGTTTTCTCTCTCCTACTCTTATCTCCTACCTGTCTACACACAGGAGCCAATGCCTCGGCCCCAGACCAACTGAGCTTAGCTTTAGCCTGGAACAGAGTCGACATCGCCCGCAGCCAGATCTTTATTTATGGGCAACAATGGCCGGTAGAGTATATTTCGTCCCCCATGAAAAGCCCGCTTGCTTGGGCAAGGGTATTGTCTTAAGGAGTCTCTGAGAAGCGGCTCAGGAAGTTGCTGCCTTTTCTTTAGGATGGAAACGTTCCCTTGTAGCCATCCCTCTTCTCAGCTCCTTTTCTCTATTTGGGAAAACACTGCCACCGGGTGGAAGACATGACAAAGCACAACTCCAAATGTTCCAAACATTTCCATCTCTGCAAGTGGCCTTTTCACAGCAACTTTCAGATGCTATTTCTTTTGTAAGTTCCAAGGGAAAAAAAAAAGACAAAAATGGTAGTAATTAAAATTAAATAAGGAGTAGAATTAGTCTTTTTTCTGGTTGTCTTTAGGAAGGCAAAAAAATAAAGAGGTTGCTGCTTTCAAGTGCTGCCACTGGGCTGCTGTGTGGCTGGGCAGCGCCTCAATTTGCAGAGTTAGCAGCTTCTGCACATGGGTGCCATCTGGTCCTGGTGGCTGAACATAGGTCCTCCCTATTCCCAAGAACAACACAGAGGGAATCAATGCTTTATATAACTGTTCTTGGTTTGTTTCCCTCAACTGACACCACCAAAAATAAAAACTAGAATTGGAAAATTGGCCTTTGGGTTGTGTATGTATGTATCCCCAGGAGGCAGCTGGCAGCCTGGAATTTGATTTTTGTGCCTGGAATCACTGAAAGACCACACCCGGTAGATCCTTCCTATGCTTCCTTTTCCCCTAGAGAGCTTCTGCCTGGGATGAAGCCTCTGTCTTCAATCAGTGCAAATGGATTGACTGTAGAAAGACTGATCAAGGAGTTTGGACTCTGGGAAATTTTTGTGAAAGGAATTAAATAAAAATCCTAGCAAGTGACACATCCAGAAAGTAGGCTATTCTATTCTTAGTTAACTGATATTACCTTGCCTCATGTCTCAGTCACTTCCACATAGAGACCCAGCATCTCTTCAAGTGCTCTGGTCTGTTTAGTTGAGTCTCTCTTAAGTTAGCCAGAGTTAATCTAATTCAGAGTTTAAGGAAGAGGAAAATGAAGATGGAAAAAAACACCCACGTTAGCAATTCCTGATGTTGCAGAAGTTTGATCAGATTGTTGGGAGGAGAGGGAAAATCTTACAAACACTTGGAGCTTCTTAGGATCCATTACAGAAAAAAACACTCAAGGAGGAAAGAGCTCTTGCAACTAGAAACTCTTACATTCCATTTGCAAAGACAGACCCCAAAACACAGGAGAGGGTGTGGTTGTCCCTATAGCGGAGCTGGGAATGGTCTTGCTAGCACGTCTTGGATGTGCTGGAGGAGTGCCAGGTGACAGCAGTGTCCACTTCTAAGCTATTTGGGTAAGCACCGAAAGATTATGTCCCTAGATCCCGGGCAGACTAACTCAGTGACTTGATTTGCAGGTGGGTTCTCTGGAACAAGCCATGTTGGATGCCCTAGTTCTGGACAGAGTGGATTTTGTGAAATTACTCATAGAGAATGGAGTAAGCATGCACCGTTTTCTCACCATCTCCAGACTAGAGGAATTGTACAATACGGTAGGACCAAGCTAAGGCACTTTTCATTTTCTCTACATTTTTTTGTTTTACCTTTTCCTGCCCCCACATGTCTGTGAGTCTCCTCCCCCCTCCAAATGCATGGATCATTTTCCACAAATGCTCCCTCTGCCCTGTGTAGACAACAAACACCAAGTCTCCAGGATTCTACCTGTTTTAACTGCTCAGTTGTCAGCATCTAAGGCAGAAAGCTATGTGATCACCAAAAGGTAACGTTCTCAGATTGTTACATGCCACGACAAGGTTCTAGAAATCAGAACACAAATCATTCTGTAAGCCCAGAGGTTGTCGGAGGCAATCAGCAGAGGAGCACTGGTTTAACTCCAAGCACCAGAGGGTGGATTTCTCTCTTCTATCACCTTGTGATACTCAGCCCCTCGAAGGCCATTCCTTTGCTACCACGATGGTATAAAATGTAAAACACCTCTTGTTTGGAGTTACCCAAAAAGGATTTTTTTTTTGTAATGATCTATTAACTTATTCACCAGGAATACCAAGGTGTAGCCAATAAGGAAAGTGACTATGAAATTTTTGAGTGTATTCAGTGAGTTAAGTAGGCTCGGGGCTGATATTTGGACACTTGAATGAAATGAGGTTTGTTCCCTTGTCTCCCCCCCACACCCCACCCCCGCTTTACAGATGAGGACACTGAGGCCAAAAAGTGAATGGGTTTGTATAAGGTCGCAAAATTCCTATGTAGAGAAGTCAGCACTGCGCTGCAGCTGGGTCGGGGCCTACTCCTGCCCGTAGTGGTCACGTGCTCCCTGCCGCTCGCTGGCCAGTCCCAGGCAGTGGAGGGGACCAGGTGCCACCCAGGTCTGTTTCATTCCCGCTGCAGGAGGTAGAAAACGGGTCCGCAGCATAGCTCAAGTTTGGTTTTGCTGCAGATTTTTCTTGTTTCAATTTTACTGATTTTCAATACTACTAATCACCTGAAAGGCAGAGTAAACATCCCAGCTCCACCTCCTTCCTCCCTACCCCCCTGAGCTACACAGCTATCCCGACAGAAACTGCTGGGAGCACTCAGGACCCAGGAACCGTTTAAGAAACTTCAGCAACACGGTAGAATGAAAAGCTGAGAAGGACCACACAAAGAGAGAACAACAGCTTCATTGTGCCTGCATCACCCCACGCCCGGCACTGCCCAGCGCTGCGAGAGGCGACTCCCCAACCAAGAGGTCCCCTGTCCCGAAGGGAGAGCAGGGTGACCAGCTTCCCCCTCTTTGGGAACCCCCACACAGAGGCTGTGTTTCCATTCTACCCCACCAGACTCCGCAGAGCTGAGGCACATGGGGACACCTGGGCGCAAGGAAGAACCACGAGGCACAAATGGCCGCAGTGTCCAGGGACCAGCGCTGCGGAGGACCCCAGCTTTCACCAATAACGACCAACAGCCACTCCAGCCACCACGGGCCCTCTTGCAGGTTTCACCAGTTTTCACCCCACAGGTATTCACCTTGACAGACGGCAGCCACCTGAATACCTACCTGCTCCCTCTCCCGCGCTGCTCACGGAGCCTGGGGCCCAAGCCACATCTGTTCCCTCTCCCTTGGCCCTGCTACAGCCTGGAATCCGCGCCTGCAGCTAGCTAGGCCTCTAGGGCTGCGCCAAGAGCAACTGCCCGCCTAGACCCCCAAGGCTGACCCCAACCACCACTTGCGCACCCGAGGCTCGCACCTTCAGCTGTGCACCTGCGTGCGCCGCCTGACACCCATCACCAGTCTCCACTGCACACACCTGTGAAAAATGCTGCGAAATGCGTGGACCTAGATTCAGCCCCTTCTCCTGTCAGTACTCTGCACCGCGGGGCTCACCTGCAGCTAGAAGCCCCTGTTGTGCACCAGCGTGCCCCTACACACCCTAGCCTGTTCAGAGGTTCAGTGATGGGTGCCCACAGACTGCAGCCATAGGAGTGCACGTCAGCAGCCAAGACACTGACAGCTGCTTGAGAGTCTAGCTCCAGGCCTGGCTTCTGTCACTGGGCAGCACTGGGAGGCTTGCTTGCAACTAGCCCCCAAGCTGTGTACCTGTACCCCACTAGCCTGACTCCTGTCACTGGACTCCACAACTCTGTACACATCCACAGTGATGCCACATAACCACAGGAATGCATCCTAACAACTAGGGCCCCTGCAGCTGCCAGTGTGCCTGCACTTGGTCCCCATCATTGTGTGCATGTTTGCAACCAGCCCCAGAACTGCCACAGGCATTTGCAATTGGCCTCCCTTGCTGAGTGTGTGTACACGCTCCGGTCACCAGTGTGGCCTGCCCTGGTCCCTAACATTGCACCTGAAGGTTCTCCTGAGGATGTTAATAGCCCATGCAGCCACTGCAGACCTCCTGGAGCAGTTGCCAATGACCAAGTATTTGTTGACACTGGGGATTCCAGTGGGCTGAGCTGACAAAACATCATGCCCATGGCAGACCCAGAATGACCACACACCCCCACCTGGCACCCTGCACCACTAGCATTGGGGCCCAGCATGCCCTTCTCTGCAGGTTAAGGTCTTTTCTTACCAATGTTACTCCACAAATTCTGGAAGAGGTGATTGCTCTTTCAAATGTACAGACATTCATGAAAGGCTACAAGGATCATGGAGAAGCAGGGAAACACACCATCAGCAAAGGAACACAGTAACTTGCAGTAATTGACCCCAGAGAAATGGAGATACATGAGCTATCCAACAAAAAATTCAAAATGTTGAACATTCTACAGATGCTTAAAAATCTACAAAAGAATACAAATAAGCAGTTTGATGAAATCTGGAAAACAATACAAGAACAATATGAAAAGTCTAATATAAAAAAGAACCAAACACAATTTTTAAAGTTAAAAAATACAGTGACTGAACTGAAGAATTTAATGAGAGTTCCAAGTCAAAGAAAGAATCCATGCGCTTGAACACAGATTATTTGAAATTATATTTTCTGAGAAGGAAAAATAATAAAGGAAATGAAGATGCCTGTGGAATTTATGTGACAATATTCAAAGAAAAAAATCTTGGCATCACTGGAGTCCTAGAAAGAGAGGAAGAAAAGAATATTTATCTTTTAAAATAATGGCTGAGAACTTCCCAAATCTGGGCAAATTCATGAAGCTATAAATCACTCCAAAATTTCAATCCAAATCATTTTCTCCAAGACAAATTATAATAAAAACTGCCTAAAATCGAAGACATTAAGAATTTTTAAAGAAACAAGAGGAAAAGATATTTTTCTCTCATTTCTTAGCAGAAACCTTCTACAACAGGAAAGTGTAAGATGATATATTTGAAGTGCTAATAGAAAAAAAAAAATTTCAGGAACTTCACCCAGCAAGGCTGTACTTTAGAAATGAAGGTGAGATAAAGATTTCCCAAATGAACAAAATCTGAGGGAGTTCATCACTAAACCTCCCTACAAGAAATGTTGAAAGCAGTGTTTCAAACTGAAATGAAAGTACAATAATTAGTAACATGAAAATATGCAACACACTCTTAAAGGTAAGAGTGGAATAGATTCCCAATAGTCTAACACTGCAGTATGGTGGTTACTTAAGTAAACACTTAAGTATTTACTTAAGTTTAAATCTAGCATAAAAGCTATAGGACAAAGGTACTTTGTAGAAAAGTATAGCTATGGTAATTTTTTAATGGATACACAACATAAAAAGGTATAAATTTTGACATGAAAAACATAAAATGAGAGGAGTAATAAAAAAATGAGAGTTCTTGTATGCAAAATTAAGCTGATATTAGCCTAAAACAGGTGGTTACATCTATGTGATATTTCAAGTCAGCCTCAGAGTAGCCACAAAACAAAACTAATGGTAGAGACAAACAAGATAAAGTACATCACTATGGAAAATCACCAATTCCCAAAGGAAAAGTGCAAAGAACAGAAGGGAACAACTTTTCAACTCTTAAAAAGTAGAAAAGAGAAAATATTCCCAAACTCATTTTAGGAGTCCAGCATTACCTGAAACCAAAGCCACTAAAGATACTACAAGAAAAGAAAATTACAGGCTAATAGCTCTGATAAATATGGATGTAAAACTTCTCAATAAAGGGGCCTCCCCGGTAGCACAGGCAGTTGAACGCAGCACTGTGAAGCTGTCTGCAGCCTCTGCAGCACGGGTTCCATCCTGGCCAGCTGCAGAGATACCCACATGGCACAGCAGACTTCTCCTGTCTTGGCCGCTGCTCCCCTCAGCAGTGTATTTCAGTCAGTCTGCCTGTTCTGTTCCTGCTCTGTCTCTCCTGAGTCCTCTCACCCTCCCACACATCTGGCCTGTACCCCGGTTTTTGCATGCATGAATAAATAAATCTTAAAAAAAATCTCAGTAAAATACTAGCCAACCAAATTCAACAGTACATTAAAATGGCCATAAACTATGGTTGAGATTTATCTGTGGGATTAAAAAATGGTTCCACATAGGCAAGTTAATAAACATGATGTGCCACATTGATAGAATGAAAGACATTTTAAAACCACTGATAATCTCAATAGAAGTAAAAAAAAAATTAGCACAATTCAACATCATTTCACGTTAACAAATTGGATATAAAAGGGCCATACCTCAACATAATAAAGGTCATAAAAGAGAAATCCACAGCAAATGTCATATTCAGCAGTAAAAGGTCAAAAAATGTTCCCTCTAAAAACAGGAACAAGACAAAGGTGCCTACTCTCACCACTCCTATGCTACACAGTGCTGGAAGTCTCTGGCATGCAATTACACAAGAAAAGAAATAGCAGGCATTCAAACCAGGAAAAAAAGTAAGGTTGTTCGCTGATGACATGATCTTATATATAGAAAATTCTAGAAACTCCAGCAAAAAAACTACTAGAATAAACAAATTCAGTAAAGTTACAGGATACAAAATTAACATACAAAATATTAATTGTATGTCCATATACTAACAATGAAGTATCTGAAAAAAAATTAAAAGACAAAGTCATTTACAATAGCATCGAGAAGAATAAAATACTAAGGAATAAATTTAATCAAGGAAGTGAAAGATCTATATACCAAAAACTATAAAGCATTGATGGAATAAGTTGATGAAGACACAAATAAGTTGAAAGATTTCCTATATTCAAGAATTGGAAGACTGGATACTGTTTAAATATCCTAAGGCCACCTACAGATTCAATTTAATCCTTATCAAAATTCCAATGGCATTTTTCACTGAAATAGAAAAAGCGATCCTAAAATACTCAAGGAATCACAAAAAATCCCAGTAACCAAGCAATCCTGAGAAAGAACAAAGTTGGAGGCTTCATGTTTCCTGATTCCAAACAATATTACAAAGCCATAACAATCAAAACAGACATATAGACCAATGGAATAAAACTGACAGCCCAGAAATAAACCCACAATATTCAATGGGGAAAGTATGTTCTCTTCAATGAATGTCATTTTAAAAAATGGATATTCACATGCAAAAGTAAGAGATTAGACACCTCTCTGACACCATTCATTAAAATTAACACATAAAGCATTAAAGACTTAAGCACTTAAGCCTAAAACTAGAACCATAAAACTTAAAAAAAACAGGGGTGGGGTGGGGGGTGGGAGAGGCCTCCTTGACGTTAATCTTGACAATGATTTTTTGGGTTTGACACCAAAAAGCAAAAGGCAAAGTAAGGAAGTGGGATTACATCAAACCAAAAAGCTTAGATAAAGAAACAATCAACAAAATTACCAGGCAACCTACATAATTAGAGAAAACATTTGCAAACCATGTATCTGATGAGGAGTTAACATCCAAAATATTGAAGGAACTCAAACAACTCAAACGCAAACAAAGGAAAAAATCTGATTAAAAAATGAAGAGGACTTGAAAGGACATTTTTCTAAAGATATACAAATGGCCAACAAATCCATGAAAAGGTGTCCAGTGTCACTGATCATCAGGGAAAGAGAAATCAAAACCACAATGAGCTGGCAGTATTATTCACAATAGCCAAGACCAGGAAATAATCTGTGTCCCTGGATGAATGGATAAAGAAAATGTAACACACACACATATGTGTGTATATATATAAACAGACACATCTATACTTACATATGTATTAGAATATTATTAAATCATAAAAAGGAAGGAAATCCTAACATTTGCTACAACATGGATAGACTTCGAGGGCATTATGCTAAGTGAAATAAGTCACACAGAGAAAGACAAATACTGTATGACCTCACTTATGTGACATGTAAAAACACAAAACTCATAGAAACAAGAATAGAATGGTGGTTGGCAGGAACTGAGGGGTGGGAGAAATTGGGAGCTATCAGTCAGGGGGTACAAACTTTCAGTTATAAGCTGAGTAGGTTCCAGTGACCTTATGTCTCATGGTAACTCTGGTTAACAATACTGTGTTACATACTTGAGAGCTGCTCTGAGCGTGAGCACTGATGTTCTCACCATAAGAACAGCAGTGAATAGGTACTTATGTGAGGTCAAGGCTGTGTTCGTTAACTTTACTGGTGGTAAACATTTTGCAATATACACATATATTGAATTATCACATTCCACATCTTAAACTTACACAATGTTATCTGTTAATTATCTCTCAATAAAGGTGGGGAAGATTAACAGGGTTCTCAATAAAATAGAATTGAATGATTTGTGTATCCATTAGTGAACCAAGGCTGTAGAGTGATTTATTCCAATGATTGAAAAGAAAGAAAAGAAATAGCGAAGTTCTAGATTGAGAAAGGCCAATAGATTTTACGGCTTCAGTTAACTAGTGGTGGTTCCCCAAGATATTCTATAGAGAATTGTGGGACAATACATGACCCAGTTATAGCAATAGTTAATGTTCGTTGAATGTGAAGCATTCTATTAATAGTTTTAGAGACATTTTATCATTAAATCTTCAAAACAACTCTTTCAGATAAATGGCTTCTTTATTCCCATTTTAGAGGTGATAAGACTGAGTCATTGTTAGGTAGCTTGCCTGTGGTCACAGGTAGTAAGCAGCAGCACAGGGCTTGGAGCCAGGCAGCCTGACCTAGAGCCCACATTTTTATCCCTGTACAACAATACGTCCCTCAGTGAAAACAATTCTAATAAATATGTCCCTATGAATGACAGGTAGCAAGGGTTGTCTCCATACTTGGGTGTGTTATAATAATGGGTAAGGATTTGCCATCACTGCTTGATATCCCCCAGTGGGGTCACCAGATTTAGCAAATAAAAATTCAGAATACCCAGTTAAATTTGAACTTCAGATAAAACAACATTTTTTTTTTTTTTGTATAAGTATGTCCCAAATTTTCATGGGACACACTTGCATTACAAATTTTTCATTGTCTGGAAATCAAATTTAACTGGGCATCCTGTGTTTTATCTAGCATTCCTATTCCTGAAAGCCAATAGGATGACAAGCCATTTTACTCAATTCTAGCCTTACATAAGCATATTGTTCCCCAAACCACTGGTTTCCCCCAAGCACATGGCTTTTTCTCTAGGTCACATTATAGCAAACTACCCCCCAAGGTCAAATCCAGTGAGCTGCTTGGTTTTTTTCTATGATTTACAAGTTCTGAATGTTTTTTTGGGGGGGGGGCATTTTTTTAGTGGTTGAAAGAAAATCAAAGAGGAATGATATTTTTGTGACCTATTAACTTCAGAGAAATTTGACTCTCTTTCCATGTCCATAAATAAAGCATTACTGAAACACCGCATGCTCATTCGCTGACCTGCTGTCTTGGTTGCTTGGGCACGAGGACAGTCAGGACGGTTGTATGAAGACTGCATGACCCACAAAGTATAAAGTAGTGTCATCCAGCCGCGCACAGCAAAAGCTTGCCAACCCCAGCTTTAGACAATCTCTCCTTCATTGTGGATAGTAAACAAATTGTCAATGCAATGTGTCAGAGTGTATTTCCAGTGCTGGAATTGGCCCCTTTGTCTCCTTCATGCTGCAAAACTTGTCCCCTAAGCAGTGTTTTGGCCCAGCTGTTAACAGAGTTGATGTCCTCCTTTGTAAAATTTGAACCTAGAACCTCAAGTGCTTTTTCTTAAGAAACCCCAATCCAAAAATCTGCCAGTGTGTTTGTTCCAAAAAGACAGGTACAACTGAGCAACTAGAACAAGGTCCATCTTGACACTCTGCCCCTCCACCAGCCAGACCCCTCCTTCCAGATCCTTCCTGCCTCGCCAATGAGAGCCCCTGACTAGCAAAACCATTTGATTCTTCTTTATTGTTTTCAGAGACATGGGCCCTCAAATACATTGTACCACTTGGTCAGGGATGTCAAAAAGGTAAGAACCCTCTCGACTGCAGGTCGGAGGCCCTGTCTTGACTGCTTCCTGTGATTAGAAAGTGCCTCTGTTTTGCATGAGCTGCCGGAGTATCCCTGTCCCTGCCAGACCCCTCATTGCAGGACACAGTGCTCGTGTCTAACTCTGACATCTCTGCTTATGACGCAGCTGCAGTTTGATCTCCAGTCTCTGTGGTTTTAGATGCTTTGGTGGACATAATGCTTTTGGATAGTGGATCTCTAGGCTTTTCCCCATGCCCTGTGGATTTATGCCATCACCTGTAGTTTTTCATTTGCCCCTCACTGATTGAAGAGCTATTTTCCATGCTGTCTGACTCACTACAAGAGGCGCCTTCATTTGCTAGCTCCTGCCACCATGGACGGCTGCCCATCTGCACCGCCGCACAGAATGGGCGAGCACAGCTCAGCAAGCCTTGGAGACAGAGGAACTAAAACACACACGTGCTCTCCATTCTGCTGACATTTTGTTTTCCCAGTCTATTTGCTTGCATGGATCGTCTAATGTGATGGGGGAAGGGTGAGGGAAAGCCAGTAGGTTTGGATTAAGTAGGATTATTCCTATTTTATAGCTAAGGAGGCTGAAATGCAAGGCCTGAACATAAGCAAATTGTATTAGGTAGTTAGTGAAGAACCTGGATTAGAGCTCATATCCTTTGATTATTAATAATGAATTATTAATAGCTAAGAATTGGTGATGACCAGGCACAGAGCACCAATCTAAGCCTTCTATGCAGTTTAGCTTATTTTAGCTTCACAAGAATTCTATGAAGTAGAATTATTATGTTATTATTATATATTATTATTCCCATTAAATAGATGGGAAGAATGACGCACAGGGGACTTTGTTTTAATCTTAGTCAAGTGCTTGTCCCTTTGCCTCACACCATCCCTTGCAGAGTTGCTTGGACTGTGAACCCTTAACAGTATCCCCATAAAGTACTGGTTTCACTCCAAAGGATAAAGCAGATGATGGCACTTCTCCCATGTTACACACATGTGTACACGCACACACACACCCACTACAAGTCTACTATAATTCTTTACTGAAGTCCATAGAATATACTCAGAGAAAGCTACCAAGTAAGGTCAAAACACAGAGCACAATTTCTTCATCTCTTAGGAAGTGGTTGGCTAGAACTGGCCTTAGATGTCCTGTAGCCACCTTTTAATTCTTCCCTCAAAAGGCCAAGCAAAGGCCCTGGGGCAGCTTATAATGTACCTATTAACCAGCTGGACCTTTGCTAGTAACGACAAAAGGATAAGGAAAAAACAATCTCTGGAGGCCCCTGGAAACCTTCCCCACATGTCCACACAACCTTAATGAAGGATTTTCTCCTCTGTGAGTGTAGGAGCCACAGTTCTCTCGAAACAGGGTAACAAACAGTATTGGACAGATACTGTGTAATCTGCACATTCAATAACCATTTTACCAAGAGCACATCTTTCCTACATCTGCCCCATTTCATGGCATAAACAAACCTGCCCTCAACAAACCCATTTTTTCTTCCCTCAAGTCTCCCAGTTGTGTTTCATTTATTCAGCCTTAAAATGCCTTAGAAAGTTAACAGGGGGAAAGTGAAAAGTGCACTCATCCAGTTTGTAGTCCTTACCAAGATATTTGTTTTTTGTGTGCAATAAAATGTTTCTGAGTTTTTCTAAAATAATCAGTAAGATCTTATCCCCCTGAGAGAGACTGTATGCTGGTATCTGTCCTGAAAGAACAGGGAGGCTGGCTAATAGGACAGCTGTGCCTCTGCCCCCCAGGCCCAGCCATTGGCCAATCTAAGCCTTTAAGGAAGGTCATTCACCCACCTCCATCACCCAGTCTGATTTTCAAAGGGATTTTTCAGTTAGATTTCACTAAGTATAAAGGATCAAAATCCCTATGAGGTGCCTGTCCTCCCAGGACTCTGCTTTACGATGTAATTTTCTCTTTTCTGAATCCCACTAGCTGCCTCTTACATCTGCTCACATCACCTATATTAAAAGACATGTAGTGTGTCTGTAAGGTAGTTCTTTTTTAAACTTCTTAACTGCAGGCATACTTCAAAAACGATATAGACTAAGAGAAAGAACAGGATGGTATGAATTGTGGAGGAAGGGATACTAATTAAGGGCAGTTCTATTTTTCTTTGAAGTATGATCCAAAACTGGAGTAAGGATATAGTTATATAATTATTCATCTACATACTAATACAGTAACTGGAAAAGGTGATAGAAAATTACTGAGAATACTACTCAACTGGCTTAGGGATAATTTATCCTTTTACCAGGAAAAAGAGATCGCCAATAAGGTGGAGAGTAGCAGGAAGCCTGTTTATTTTCTTCCCAGGGGAATAGTCCAGGGAAGAAATATCAAGAAATATAGATTCCATTTATTTCTAATATAAAGGTGAAGATCTCACAATTGGGAGCAAGAAAGAACAGCAATGGAGGAAACAGAAGTGTCTACATTTTATGTATATAGATAAAGGGAGCTGAAAATGAGTGGTTTTGTTTGTGTATTTTTCTAAGTGAATGAGAAATTAATACTGGGACACACCTTCCTCAGATGGTTCCAGAAGACTTCCAGCAATTTAGGCCAATATCATATGCAAAGTCTACAAAAATTAGATTTAAAATGCTAAGACAATCTTAGGCAGTTTAAGCAGTTTTCCCTATTAAGGAACATAATAATTAGCATGTGCTTTGTGTTCTATAATTACAGGACTTCATGTACATATTAATTGATTTATTCTGTGACAAAAATTAATCAGTAAGTGATAAGCCCTGATGCAAAATGCTACTCATGAGTGGGGGACACAGTTCTGGGCCTTAAACATAGCATTTGATAATCCATCTGTAAAATTAAATGTAAACGGGCCTCCCCGGTGGCACAGCGGTTGAGCGCTGGGTTGCGAAGCTGCCAGCAGCCTCTGCAGCGCGGGTTCCATCCCCGGCTGCTCCCCGGCCACCGGAGGAGGGTCCCACATGGCGCGCAGACCTCTCCTGCCGCCCGCTGCTCCCCTCAGCAGTGTGCTTCGGTCCTTCTGCCTGTTCTGCTCCCTGCTCTGGCTCTGGTGAATTCTCTCGCCCTCCCGCGCTTCTGACTGTACCCAGGGCTTGTATAAATAAATAAATAAATCTTTAAAAAAAAAATTAAATGTAAACAACACTTATGGACCAAGAAATGCATTTAGGAATTATCAGACCATCCTAAATTAAATGGCTTGACGTCTCCAAATTCAGCTGTCCTTTGAAGCCCACGAACTGAAGGTGGAGAATGGCTCCTAAGCTGGTTTCAAAATCTCAAATTATTTACATCAAGGGAGCAATCTAGGAACAATAAAGTAAAAAGAGTTGCTATTTAGCATCAATCGGAAACTGAAATTGACATAAACCAGCCCAATTCCATGACCTGCTTTTAAGCATAAATCCATTGGCTGTATCAATGCTCTCACATCAGCTCAGGGTGGCCCAAGTCTGTCTGCTTCTCCGTGAAATCTAACCTGCCATTTTAGTAGCTACTGTCTGCTCAGTTTGTGGCTCTGTATGTTTTCAAGTAGTAGTTGTTCTTTCTACAATTAAATGTGTTGATACTATATTGCCCCTCCCCACTAAAAGAGGGTGATGTTTGAGTATTATATGGAAGTACTGATGGAATTATAAATTGAAATTTATTTATGTGGGAATCACATAAATGAGAGATTTGCAGAAGAAAAAAACATAAAATTTCAGACATGCATTTGGAAAGAAAGGATATTTTCATAATCCCAGCTACTAAATTCATGCAAATTCCCAAAACATTCTTATTTTTAAAGAATGGATTGCCTGGGCTATTCCCATACCAAACACTGGGGGAATGTTCTCTTTCTCCATGAACTTTCACCAGGAGTGCCTTTCGCCCCTCTCCCCAGGAAACCTAACAACCAGCGATCATTTTATAACTCACCCATATCAGACAGAAACAATCTTGTTCTGAGGGCCTGTTATGAGTTTCCAAGAAAAAAAGGTTTCCTGGAAGTTGAAATCTGATATAATATGGTGAGCTGATATGTGGAAAAAAAAAAAAAAGTTGATTTACAATTGCAGATCTAATAAGTGAATTTAAACTCTTCTTTGAATTAAAAGACATCCTTAGGCCTGACATGGGCTAAAACTTAGCTTCAGAGTACGAGCTGCAGGCATGAAAGGAGGAGACAGCGTTTTCAAGCTGTACCTATTCCAAGGCCTAAGCTTCTCTATTTATTCTGTGGATCACTTTATTTGAATCACATGGCTTATCATGCATTATTAAGGCATGAAATAGGAAATAATTAAGCAATTATGAGAGGCCTTACTGATGACCAAAAGCTGGTTGGAGGGGGGTAACAGAACCAGCAGGCAGAATGATTGTTACTTCAGTACCACTTTTGACTTCCTAACTGAAAAGGACCCAAACAAAGGAAGACTCCTCCAGAAGGTTTTTGGACATTACCTGTTGGTGAGGTGCCACCCATCACCTCTGCTTTCCCAGAGGAGACCAATTGACAAGCACAACCCAGGCCTCTCTACCCCCTTGCCACCTGTTGTGTCTCCAAGTCCCCAGCCCACCAATCAAAACCCCAGGGCATCACTGGCAGCTACATCAAGCTCTGGACAAGGCTCTTTGCCCAGCGACCTGGCAGCAGTGCAACCTATCAGGTAGTGTTCAGATAATTGAACCTTTAAAAACAGACAAGACCTTAGAAGTGACTGCTTCCAAACTGCCTGTTTTCAGAATGCAAACTGAGGTCCAGAGAAAGGAAATGATCTGTCCTGGGTCGCATGGGGCAGAGCCAGGCCCACGGTGCAGTCAGGGCAGTTTCCCAAGTGGAGTCACATTGCTGTCTATTGTCTACACATCTGTGACATCTGCAGGTAACAGGTGGCCCCGACACACACCAGACAGCTCCTCAGACACCCCCAGACCTGACACACCAATGTTGCCACTCCATCAGAGTTCACCAGGGCGTGGTGACTATTGCAGGAAGCCTGTGTGCCTGATTTTATTCATTTTGTAAAACCTATTTCTTCTTTCCCAGAAGGTTCCCACTGCTCCTATTAAAAATCATAAAGATTGTTTCCCTTAATATGTTTGCTCCCAAAAAGCCTCTGGAAAGAAACAGCTGCAATCAGCCTTGCAGGTGGAGTTCAAACATATTGCTTGATAGAGTAAGCATTCCTTCCTCCAGATACCACATCCACAAGACCTGACCCTCAACCTCAAATCTTCCAGTCTTCCCTGTGGCACCTTATTGTACATATAAAGACAAAACAGATCGGGTATGTCATTGCTGGTGATGAAGAAACCTTCATCCGCTTTAGCTAAGTGAACATCGCCCCCTTGTGGTCAAATAGAATATAGGCCAGTTCCTTTGAGTAAAATCCAGGAGAGCGAGGAAGGAACCCTCATGGGCATTAGTCAGAGGAACATTGCCCTCTTGTGGCCAAACAGAATATAGACCAGTTCCTTTAAGTAGAATCCAGACTAGTCAGAGAATCCTCTTGTTTTAGTCCAGATCATACAAGAATCACTCAAATAATCAAGATTCCTAACAATTATTAAGGAACAAAATTCATCCAAAATAAATTTAGAGATCGAAATGACTATGAAATGTCTCAGGAACCAGGCAGCATCCCATCTAACAAGTAGATAGTTTCAATGAGTTTGTACAAAATGGGTATGTTTATATCGAGACAGGATATTAGCAAAAGAAAAGATTATTTCTGCAAAGTCATTAGCGCTTATTAGGAAACTCCAGAGAGACTGGTTTAGAATTCCATGTTTAGGAGAGGCTGAAACTGCAATGAAGTGAGGTACTAAGTCTTTGGGCCCTGGTATGAAGTGCTCTATCTGGGCCTGTTGTTTCTTTTTAGTGTAACAGAAAGATTCTAGCACCTTCTTTGGTAGTATATATCTCAATAGCCCTTTGTGACTTAGTCATTTGCAAAAAAGTTTTTACTTACCTCTCTTAAAGATTTTTTTTTTAATTTTACTATTATAATCATCTGCCTGATAAGGCCCTCTCTTACAGACACCTCAGAAGTATAAATGTGGCCATTCAATTTTGGTCTTCCAGTGGTATTGATGTCCTATTATAATTCAAACTTATGTTCTCACATGGTTTCTCAATAGAAAATTTATGCTAGACTCACTATTATCTATGTTTTAAATTTAGAAAATTCTTACAAGATTAAAAATAGGCACAATTTAATAGACTTGCTATGATTGCTTTTTACCAGTATCATAATAAATCTGAAGATTTTCTGAACCTAGTACTTGAGCGTTACCTTAGAGGCCATGGGCTTCTACCCCTTTTACTGGGAAGAAAACTGAGAGCTTGAGGGCAAGTGGCTGATTCCTAAAGGACTGACAGAAGGACAGAGAAAATAACACAGACAGGGTAGGTGTCCTCATAGGAGTCACATGCAAGTGAGGTGAGGGCCCTGGCATGTCCAGACCTTGGGGCATATCTGCTCTTAAAAAAACGGCCTCACCTAAATGTGGGGTGGAGTCCAAGAACGCAGAAGCTGCAGCCTTGCTAACCTGTCCCAAAGTCATGGAGAAAAGTGGGTGCATGGGTAAGTTTTAAACTGAGCTTAATTTTACAGGAAGGGCAAAACATGAAAAGTTATGAACTTAAAACTTCCCCTGAGTTTCCTTTTCCTGTTTTGCCATCCTTGGCATAAAGTCAGACAACTGGTCTTTCTTAATAGTCTGAGAGTACAGTTTAACTAAGTGATTCAGTTAGATCGATGAAATAATCTTGACTCAAACATTTGGAAATTGCGAGGTAGGGAGGAGAGGAGAGAGCATTTGTGTAACGGACCAATTCAGATAATGAAATGGATCTCAGATTGGGGTCTGATGGCCCAATGTCAAGTGTGGGAGAGGGTTCTGTACCTCAAAGTGCTTCCACCTTATATGGGGTGCCCTTCAAACAGTCTCATTTTGCTGGGCTGGCTGGAAGTAGATCTCCAGGCATGCCATGTGCTCCAAGTCAGGGGAGGTAGAACCTGGTAGATGGGGCTGGAAGTCTGGTGACAGACAGAGCCTTGGGCTAGTGTGTCACTGCTGTGTCTCCCCTCCCATCCCTGTTGGTAGTATAGACACAGCAACACACACATCTCAGGTCAGATTTCCAGCTGGGGTTGTCATGGCCAGGGTGACTCATGGACTAGCTAGTTGGCCCTGTTACTGAGAATGCAGTACAAAAAAATCAACGGAGTCCTGGCCCCAACCATCTCAATTAATTTCACTGTTCCACTCATTCACATTTTAGAGGGGAAAAAAGATACTCTGGACACCTACCAAACACCAGGCTCTATAAAATTACTGGGAATGCAAAGATAAATAAAAAATTAAAAATATAAAGTTCTAAGTTTGATGATAGGATGCGGTAACCCCAAAGCCCCTCAAAGGGAGGCTGTGGATCATAGGAAAGCTGAGTAAAGAGAACTGAAAATCCATTTTCAGTTGAGCAAAACAACTTGAGCTGATTTCCTAAAGACAATGATTATCTTTATACCTCTCCCAAACTCCGCAGGGTAATTAATCCCACTTGAACCTTATTTAGTAGACATGCAGTTCAACAAACTTGGGTGTGTATAAGAAACATCCAGAGAGCTAATAAAGTGCACAGAAGTTCATACACTGGAGCAAGACAGGGTTCATACCTTTGAGTCACCCCCAGTTCCCAGGGGACGCTGACACCACTTGGCCTCCAGTCGCTTCTGTGGAGCAGCAGATGCATCACAGAGCCTCCTGGAGGGTCCTCCATTAGGGCAAAGCCTTCATGCTTCTCCAAAACCTCGCTAAGGGCACGGAGTGATGCGCTGCCTACGCTGCACCTGCACCATTCATGGCCTAGGGATGCCCGGCTGTAGGGAACCCAACAGGTAGAGGTGACCCTCCAGCTCTTTGGACTTTCCCCCATGCTCAGAACTAATCTTTCCTCTACTCGACAAAGCAAGGATTTTCCTTACACCCTACAGAGCTCCTTTTGAAACAGACACCAGCAAAGACTAGACAATAACAAGTGTTCTGGTTTTGCATCCGTATGTGGCAGCACTTCGAAGCTAGAGCTTAACTTTTCGTCTTTAAGGGCGCTATTCTCTTTGAAAGAAAATGTTAAAAAACAATCTTAATTCTGGGAAAATAAATATTCCATTGACAAAACGTATTCCTGATTCCTCTCCCTTTGCTCTGAAACACAAGGACCTTCCTAAGCAACTTCATCCTGACATCAGACTCTCCTTCCTGGACGCTGCTCTCCTTTATATGGAAAGTACCAGTTTTAAAAAAGTAGTTAATAGAGGTTTTGTATCAAAGGAGATCTGAGCTCTAAGCATATCCCACCCGGTAATGACAATGATCTTCTGGAAGGAGTCTTCAATTAGTTGTGTGAAGAAGTAAAGGACCAGCAAGAGGGAGGACCAGGCGCCGGGCAGAGGCGCAGCGGGCGGGCCCCGGGCACTTAGCGCTATGCTAGTGGCGGTGAATGACAGCATTTGCCATGTCTAGCCTTGTGTTTCTTTCTGCTACACTGGTGTTTTTTTCTCCCCAGCTGAAGACTTGAATAAATATTTTGATTTTCTGTTATTGCCGACGATTACTGCACCTTCTTATTTAACTTATGTCTTCTTTCCAAGCGAGAATATCCAGGTTTCGGTTGGATCTATTTTAAGGTGAATTAATTAACCAGCATAATAATACATTCATGTTTCTTTTTTAATTATTCTTTTTACTCTAAAATACTTACAGAACACATGGAATAGAAGCCCTAGTAAACCATCTTGTCTTTGGATTTTTTGTTTGTTTGTTTGTTTCCTTCTTCTCTGCTAGGGCAACCTGCCCCCCGACTACAGGATCAGCCTGATAGACATCGGCCTGGTGATCGAGTACCTGATGGGCGGCGCCTACCGCTGCAACTACACGCGCAAGCGCTTCAGGACCCTCTACCATAATCTCTTTGGCCCCAAGAGGGTGAGGCTCGCAGCAAATCTCGGTTTCCGGGAGGGCTGGGGTGCCATAGGTTTGGGGCATACCTTTGTTGTTGCCAAGATGGAGATGAGATGAGAAGGCAGCTGTCCCTCTCTTTTTCCCTCCATCATCAAGTCACCTTAAAAAAAAAAAAAAAAAAGGCACAAATTGGGTTATGCACATCTTTCTTTTCCTCATTAAGTGGAATTCAATCAAAAGCTGATGCTGAAAGTGATTCTGAAAGATCACAGAATAGTTATGATATTCAAATTGATCTATTTCAAGGCTTTTGTTCTTGGCATCTATTTATACCTTTCAAAATTATTGAGGACCCCCCCAAACCCTTTATCTATGTGAATTTTATCTATCAGTATTTATCATGTAAGAAATTAAAATTAAGACTTAAAATATGTATTCATTGTAAATAACCCTAAGAAGCTCATTATTTTTAACATAAATATGCTTGTAAAACTATATTCTAAAATATTAATGATAAGAGTAGCATTGTTCTACTTTCTTTAATAGACTTCTATATTCACTATATCTCCTTCTGCACTCAGTTTGTTGTTTTAGTTGAAATAAAAGCAGAACACACAAACATGTGGCAAATAAATCAAAAAGGAAAGAATATTTTCATAATCTTTGCAGATAATTATATTCATTTTTGATTCTGCATCAAAAGGCAAGAAGTGGCAATATGTTGAGATTTCTTAGGGATTAGTTGCAATGTGAAATGTGAAACCACTTCAATGAAAACTTTTCTTACTCTGTTAAGATCTATTCATATATCTTGTATTTTGTATGAATCTTGTAACATCATAGATTGGTTATTGTAAAATACTGATTCCTTGATTTTCTGAATGTTGGTGCATTTCATTATATAATATTTCAAAGCTCATATTCATTAATATCACCACCAGTTTCATCAGAAAAGCCTGTAAGTGCTGAAAAACTCTCAAGGTCGAGGGTGAAAGGATACACATATTCCAAAATTCTAAATTTGCTAATTTTTGCTTGGAAAGTTTGAATTTTGCCATTGGCAATAAATAGTATCATTTTCCATGAGAAACCAATCTGTTTCATTCATTTCTGAAAATGTCTGCCAAATGTCCAAGTCTCAATAATCATAGTTTGTCTGCCAGTCATTCCTTCATGTGGTTAGTCCATCATACAAAGTGGCCATAATTCAGCCGAAACAATCACTAAGTGTTTTCTCCCAGACAACCCATCACAGATAAGCATGTATCAGGTACTTCCCATATCAGCCCTCAGAGCACTATGAAGACAATATTTACTATCAAGAGCCGAGATTTAGTAAAGCTAATCACTTTTTAGGTCTCTGGCTTGTTTTTTGAACTTCAAATTCCTAACAGTGGAATCTAAGGGCAACTGGTGAAGTTAGGAACAAATGCCTTGTTCTTACTATGATACCCAACAGCTTGATTTACTGTTGCTTCCACAGCATCAGTGTAAACATTAACACACTGTCACAGCCAAATCACATCTTAGCATCATTATGAAAATAGCTTTGACTTTACAGGCCTTATTGTAAGGATCTCAAAGAGGATCCTCTGCAAAGGTTAAACAGTTTACCACATTTTGGAAAACTGCTGTCTTTGGTGTTGGTGGGCATGACTTCTATTTTAAACAAAGCTTGTTTTCTGATTATGAAAGTATTTTGTGATTCCAGAAGACAACTTTGAAAACACCAGAAAGTATGGGAAAAAATCATGCAAATTTCAAATGGGTGGTCATTTAGAAGCTGAAAGAGAAAATAAGGAAAAGAGATAGGGTTTAAGCTCTTTCTCCTTGAATGGTCAAATAAAATTTGGAGGAAATGTAAATGCTGTGATTTACTGCTTACTTCAGTAACTTTCAAGGTGGCACCCAACCATTCTGTAATACTTAAAACACAGAATTGGTATTCCTGACTCCTGAGATATAATTTTGCATCTCCTCTGGTTAAATATAGATCAGGTTCTGGTATTTGCTGAGTGGTCTCACTTCATCTTGGTCTGTGGCTATTTTGCACATTCCCGGCATGATCTGATGCTATCGTGTGGCTTTGCATGCCACTGAGCACCCTCTGCCACCGTCAGCACCTGTCCTTCTGTCCCCACACACCCCTGCTCACAGAGAGATGGCCCACATCAGGAGTCTAAATACATGTCTCTGAATAATATTCCAAGTCTCCGGATAATTGAGGTCTTTCATAGATATGAAAAACATCTCATGGATTGACTATGTTTCATTCACTATTGCTTTCACAGCATCAGCGTAAACATTAACACAGTGCCACAGCCAAATCTCATCTCAGCACATGCTTCAACCAAATAGGATAGTTCTAAGAAAATGGAAGAAACCTAGGCTGTGCTCTTAAACAATCTCATTATGCCTCTCCAGCTTCCTAATTTTATGTGAGTCACCAAAATCACTAAGTCCCTAATTCTCTTAGAATTTCTATAAAGTGGTCCCCCTGTGATGTTGTATTTAGTGAAATGAGCAAAATCTATGTGTTATAAAAGAGTGCTCCCATTACATGGTTAAGTTATAGAAAGATTCTTTTCTTAACCCTATAAAAAAAAAGATCTAATTTTGTGCATAACATTTTTTTTAACAGCCCAAAGCTTTGAAACTGCTGGGAATGGAGGTAAGTGTTTGTTCAAATTATTAGTGTCAATTATTTATTCTCTTTATTATATAATTTAAAGTGTGTGTGTATGTGTGTGTATACACATAACTCATTTCAGTGTGAGGACAAGTACACGATTCTAAAACAAGGGGGTGAAAATTTTCCCAGTATCAAGGGAGAGGCCAGGCCATTCACACAGGAGCTTTGAAAATTCTACCATGAGGTTATGTTAGCATTGCAAACAAGAAAATAAATCCTATTTGCAATACTAACTTGAAAACCAAGGAAGCATATAAATTCCAGTAAGTGAAATCTATTCATGGATGTTTACAAAAGGCAAAAAATCCAAGGGACTAAAAACATTTCACAAATGCCTCTAATGAAGGTATGCAGAAACTCGAGACAGATGATCTGGTTTCCCACCCTTTGTTTATGTGGTTATTGTCATACATCCAAATAAAAATCTAGGATGCCTTTGTCCTTTCAGTGGAAAGGCTAGTGCTGTTCATGAAGTACAAATAGCCCTACCTATAGAGGGAAAAAATGGACAAAACTGAAAAGAAAAAGAAATCAGCCTATTAAAAAGTAGGTTTTTTTTTTTAATATTCTATAAGGTTAAGTTTGTTGGAAGGGAAGGGGAAAAGACACTTGCATAGACACAAGCAGGCAGAAAGCTGCAAAAAGTACTTTGGAAAGTTAGAATATAACCCTGCTATGTCCCCATAGGATTGTACCTGTGCATTTATTACAACTTGTTTTATTTAATTTGCAATTTTTTTATTTTATATATTTTTTACATCATTCTTCATTTGTGTACAATGTATGCTTTCTCATCTCGGCTGTAGTCCCTGTGAAATTCCCACCACCAATTCACCCATGTGCCATCACCACAGTCCCTGTGCACTTCCCTCCCCTGTTTTGATCCTACTTGTTTTAAAGTCAGGTGTTACGAGCTTGTGAGTTCTTTTAGGCAGCAGCTGGCCTGGTTCATTTCTGTATCTACCCCAGAGCTGGGCCAGTGGTAGATAGAGAATAACTATTATTTGAACTGAATTGAATTGAATTTGATTGGATTCCATTCCATTCAATTGATTCATTTCTAACTCCACTTCTGTGTTTTTCCCCTAAAATTACAGGATGATGTTCCCTTGAGGCGAGGAAGAAAGACAACCAAGAAGCGTGAAGAGGAGGTAGACATTGACTTAGACGACCCTGAGATCAACCATTTCCCTTTCCCTTTCCACGAGCTGATGGTGTGGGCTGTCCTGATGAAGCGGCAGAAGATGGCCCTGTTCTTCTGGCAGCACGGGGAGGAGGCCATGGCCAAGGCCCTGGTGGCCTGTAAGCTCTGCAAAGCCATGGCTCACGAGGCCTCTGAGAACGACATGGTTGACGACATCTCCCAGGAGCTGAACCACAACTCCAGGTTGGCCTGCCCAGAAAATGGGGTGGGGTGGCAGGGAATTGGGGTTGGGGGGAAAGAAGGGAAGGTGGGCCCAGATAGAAAGAGTCTAAGCTGCCCAAAATGCTAAAGGGAGTCAGTATCACCTGGATGCTGTACACAGAGGGTGGACCCAAATAATTAATGTTTATGATGCACAGTGTTTGATACAGAGACACATTGCTGGTACTTAGATTCATGTCATCCTTTCAACTGTCCCAAGAGGTAGGTCCTCATTTTATGCATATTTATAGCTAAAGAACACGAGACTCAGAATTGAAGTTACTTGTCTAAGATCAGTCTCTTGTGGTCAGCAAGACTCATGTCTGTCACTTTTAAGAAGACAAACTCCCCTCTAATTGTTGATTTATTGGTCAGTGTACCCCATTCATACACTTTGAATTGGGGTCCTTGAGTACTTGGATCATGCTTTCACTTACTCCCCAGCTCTGAACTTGGTATCTGGCACACAGTTGATGCAATGAATGAACAATCCAGACCCCGTAAGAAACAACTGGACCACAAGGCAACTAGCTTTTGTGGCTTGGGCAGTGGGTCCCCACTTTCATCATCTAAGACTCCAAGATAGCCAAAAAGATGACCCCTCACATTCTCTCTTTCAGGGACTTTGGTCAACTGGCTGTGGAGCTCCTCGACCAGTCATATAAACAGGACGAGCAGCTGGCCATGAAACTACTGACGTATGAACTGAAGAACTGGAGCAATGCCACATGCTTGCAGCTGGCTGTGGCTGCCAAGCACCGTGACTTCATTGCCCACACGTGCAGCCAGATGTTGCTCACAGACATGTGGATGGGCCGCCTACGGATGCGCAAGAACTCAGGCCTCAAGGTCAGCGCGCCCAGCAGGCCCTGTGGGCTATAAAGGCTGGAGGGCTGGTTGGAATGTTCCAAGCCAAAGCTGCAGTGGGGTTAGGCATTCTCTTATCTCAGAAGGTAGTTCTAAACCCCAACTGTGCATCAGAATCTTCTGTATATCAGGATTTTTTTCATATAGAAGCTAAGGTCTCCCCCAATTCAGCAAAACCAGAACCACTAGCAATGGTATGTAAACATGAATACTTGTCAGAAGCTCCAAAGGTGATGGTCACACAGGTAGCATTTGTTGTGCCCCAGGAGCCACTAACTTAGGCAGCCTTTCACCTCTGTGCCAGCCTGAATGTCCTGTCCCTTCTGTGTACCCTGCCATGAAGAGACATTGGCTCTTATCAGCTATACTGGGGAAAATGTTTTGATTGGAATAAAAATGAGATACAATATATGTAAAGACATTGTTAAAAATCCTGATCTACTCTTAAGTCAAGCACGACAAGTTGCAGACTAGTATGCATAATGTAAGCCCATTTTTTTTGAGTGAGTGCATGTGTAGTTATATAAATATATATAAATATAATTAACGAAAAATAAAAAGCCAGGAAGGACACATGGTAAATCATTTGCACTGGTTACCTGTGTGTTGATGATGTAACTTGCATTTTTTTTAATAATAAATTTTATTTTTATATTCCCCATACAATTTCAACCCCCCCATTTTGACCCCAATCCCTCCCCTCCCGCCACCCACCCCCCCAAAAGTGTCTCTGGTTCATAGATTTTTGTTGATTTTGATTTTCACTTTCTTATAGTTATTCATTTTCCTGGTCCCTTATTTAAGTTTTCTAGATTCCTGCTATGAGTGAGACCATCCGGTATTTTTCTTTTTCTTTCTGGCTTATTTCGCTGAGCATGATCCCTTCCAGCGCCATCCATGTTGCTGCAAATTGCATGTGTTTATCTTTTTTGAATGCTGAGTAATATTCCATGGTATATATGTACCACATCTTCTTGATCCAGTCATCTATTTTTGGGCATTTGTGCTGTTTCCAAAGCTTAGCTATTGTAAACAGTGCTGCTATAAACATAGGGGTGCAGGTGCTCTTTGGAATTGATGTTTCTGTGTCCTTTGGGTAAATACTTAGGAGTGGAATTGCTGGATCATATGGAAGCTCTATGTTTACTTGCATTTTTGTGGGGTCTTTTTCAATGCTATTTAATGAAAACACTAAATTGAAAGAAGTAACAGAAAGACAGAAAAAAATGGGATAGGGAAGATTGGAAGAATGATTTCAAATACTTGTTTAGAGTACATGGCTGTCACAGCTGAAGCAAGGCTCAAATTTACGAAGCACTACCTGATCTGGGTAAATGTGAGGTCAACCCAAAGCAGAAGGGCCACAAGACCAATGCAATCGCTGAGGCCCCCTGACTAAACCAGCACCCCCTCCCCATGACCCTTCCCAGGGGCTTTTGGCCCCTAGTCACAGTAAGGCCTAAAGAAATGGGTTGTGGGCATTCCATAGCCGCTCTGCTAGTGACCACCCAGCCCTCCTCTCAGCTCCCAGGACAGGGTGTCACATCCCCTGAAGGATGCCAGGATGCCACCTGAGCCTCCGGGCCTGCCAGGCATGCTGGGGTCAGAGTCACCTCTCTCCTCTTCTCTTAGCTGCTCTCAGACCCTGTGGGGTTCAAGCATTGGCCACGCCCACCTCTTATTTGGGGATCATTTTGACATTATTTTTATTTTGGGAGCTCTCTTAGTTCCTCACTTTGTTCAGTTTCTTCAAAAATTGCATATTCAGAAGCCTCATACAACAGAACCATTGTAGGATTAAAGGAGGAAGTGGAAAATTTAGGGGGCACAAGTCAGGTATCATTGTCATCATTCAGAAAAGCACTCATTTCCTGGCCAAGGGAGAAAGAAACTGGCTTCTGGTGAGAAAGAGCAGTGCATTTATACCATCATCACCTGGAAACTTAAGCAAATTGTCTGTACAGGAGAGAAATATCGAGCTGGACCCTTGGGGGTATTTGTGCAGGGGCATTATCACAGTGAGAATACAGAGCATGAGCTGAGTGTGTGTGTGTGTGTGTGTGTAAATGCAGGGGAGGGTGTCAAATGAACAGCATGCTTTCCCATAGGACTTTCTCAAGGTCAATTTAAGACAGTGTTTTTTAGAGATAACCCGATGACACATGATCAACTCCATTTGACACATTAGCAAATAAATGCCAGTGGACATACATATAAATTGATTTCACAGTTAAGTGCTCTCTAATGATTAAACGGGAATCTAAATGCTTTCCCACTTTTGCCATGGGTAGAATCTCTCCTTTGCCTCAATTCCCCAGGCAACATGGGTTTTAATTGGGTAAGATACTTTTTCCTCCAAAATCAGACTGAGCTACTGTGCGTTAGCATCCCCAGATGGGCAGAAGTGACCTTCTAAGCATGAACGTGTCTAGTTAGTCAGCTCAGCAGGTCCTCACAGAGCCACACAGCACCCCTGGTGCACATACATGTGCACCCTCACACTCACCACACCCCAGCCCTCTGATTCTAAGCAACCACCCTGATCTTAATCCTTTAAATGTGATTATTATTATTATCATTATTATTACTTTAGGTAATTCTGGGAATTCTACTTCCTCCTTCAATTCTCAGCTTGGAGTTCAAGAACAAAGATGACATGCCCTACATGTCTCAGGCCCAGGAAATCCATCTTCAAGAGAAGGAGCCAGAAGAACCAGAGAAGCCCTCAAAGGAAAAAGATGAAGAGGACATGGAACTGACAGTAAGAGAAAAAAAAAAAAAAAAAACCTGAACAAGGAACGCAGCTATTGTCCACAGATTAGAATCCCTAATCCACTTGTCCTGTTGATACAACTTGAGATCCTCCAAATCTTGAGTCAACCTCCCAGCCAGTGCTTTCATTTAAGTTTTGAGATCATGGTACTATAAAAGTGTCTGCTGTGTGCACAAGTACCAATACCATAGGGACTAATTTCACGTGGAATCCTTCAGCCAGCATCAATGATTCAGGCCAACCCAATGAAATTCAAAAGCAAGGCACCCTAAATTTTCCAAACAGGTAATGCTTCTGAAACAACCAGGCAGGCTCAGCATGCAAAGAAGGAAAGGGAATCCATGATTTGGGAGCAGCCAGCTTTTCTGGAACGGCTCTGCTGATCAAAAGCTAAGTCTTTATCTGTCTTTGGGGTCAGGCTCACAAATGCAGGACTAATTGAATTTTGAGGTTTGTATGGAAGGCTTTTATTAGCCCTTCCTGGTATAATTATAGAGCATGGATGCTTTGTTCTGCAGGGGAGTGGGGCAGCTGGGCATGGGACCGCTTCCCACAACCCCCGCCTGAGCAGCGTGACTGCCGCTGGACTGTATCCAAAGCCTAAAAATATCACAGACTGTTAAAGGGACAAACAAGGCTTCAGAGCTTTGGAGACATCAAGCTCCCTTGATATTCCCCACCCTCTACATCACTCTCACCAATGACTGTGGTGGCCAGAAGAAGCTGTAAGGGGAGAAAATAAAACTTGGTTTTGCTCGGGTGACAAAATGCCTGTGCAGAGCTGTCCTCGTGGCCTTACCCTGCGGAGTATGCTTCCCCCAGAGAGACAATGTTCCCTGCAGGAGGTCCTGCCTAAAGGTCTGTTTTCAGGCACAACCTCAGCCCCAAGTGCAGCAGGCATATGCACTGGGTGACTCTCTAGTTGAACAGTAACTCACAGGATTTAACTCAGAAGTCAACCTTTGTTTTGGGTTCCAGGATTCTTTAAAAATTGGTGCACACCCCTGCCTGTCTGCTAGGATTAGATGGAATCTTCCCAAAAGATCTTACATTAGTTTTGGTCTCTGAAGCCCATCGAGGCTAGGAAATAGTATTTTGATCATTCCCAAAAACACGGCAATAGTAATCTGAATCTTTGTTGAAAACTTCAGCAGAGTAGTAAACACTAGACACTCTGGAGCCAGACTCCTACCCCATCACCTACTCACTGTGGGACCTTGGGCAGAGGATTGTGGGAATAACAACTTTGGCAAGCTCAGAGTATACATATACAGACTGGGGCCTGGCCCACAGCAATTCTTGATAAATGTTTGATAGCATTGTTATAACAGTGCTAAAAGTTTGACATGCACTTACTCATGGACTCCCCAATCCCACAAGGTAGGTACGCTTTATTACCCCATTTTACAGATGAGGAAGCTGAGGCTCAGAGCAATCGAATTACCCAAAATTACCTAGCTTATTTGTTGCAAAGTTGGGATTAGAACCAAGGCTTACAGACTGTATTGGTCATACTTTTCATTGCTAAGCTAGAAGTGCAAAATCTTTCTTCCTACCTGGACTTAAATGTAGACACTCAGTTGGATTGGTCCACCAGGTAGAAGAAAGAATCCCAAAGTGAATCGCAGCTCCTCTGTCACATCTGAATGGTCTTGTCGTTGCATACATCCTAGGAAGGCACCAGAAATGAAGTCAGCATTCTTTCTGGTTGGGCATCAAGGAAGAAAACAAAAGAGGTGACTCTTTTCTGCTCAGTCTAGAGCTCTGAACCCCAGATCCCATAAGAAGCCACAATAAAAGGCACTTCTCTCAATTGGGAACAGAGTCTGTTTCCCAGGAAAAGACCCCCTAGAGCATCACTGCCTGAACTTCTTCCCCACAGGTAGAAACAGCAGAAGAAAAGGAGGGGAGAGACTTGTGGGCTGGCAAAGTCAGGGGTGGACAGCAGTTGTCTTTAAGGTAGACCTTCCTTTGGCCATAAAGTTCTTGTCTCTCCTGGTGCCCTGGTCCTGGTGCTCCCTCCCTGGTCCAGGGCTGAGGAGTACAGCTTATTGACACCTTGCTCCTTTCATAGGACTGAAAATTGAGTTTTTGTGTTAAACCAACATATCTTCTCTTGGAATGGGAAGTTTTCCCTTGATCCTTCCAAAATATCAGCCTCGGTTTGCTTCATTTTAGTAGTCTTTAGTAGCTTAGTTACTGCAAAGGATCTTTCTCAGACTTGGCATCCGCAGCCAGCCATCAAAGAGTCTCAAATTCATATTGTGTGCTTTTATCTGTTTTGACTCGCTTGCATTCAACTTTAAAGAATGTACAAAGGAGATGTTTGAGTACTGGAAAACGGAATCAACAAAATCAGCAAGTTGAGCTGCTGAGGCTTGACTTAATGAAATGTCAAAAAATGCTTTACTTAAACCATAAAAGACAAGGCTTCTAAAAATGCATGCACTTTGGAATGCCTCTGAATAATAAAGGCAAAGCAGGTTATTGTGTTTCTGTTTTACCTGAATTGCCAGGTAAGTGTCTTGTACTTTGACTAATAAGGTGCCAACCTGGGCACAGACCCAGGGTATCATTTTAGGTCTCTTGGGAAGCCACTGTTCTTAGAAGTCACCCCACCATGCCACTCTCCAAAATGCCAAAAACCTTCTAAATTACCCTTAACTCACCTCCTTGTGTCCCCAAATGACATTGTATTATTGGGCATATAAATAAGGAGAACAGAAATAGAATTATTATGTTACATAAATGATAAATTACACAGTGGCAAATATCACATAACCCCAGAGTTCTTCAAGGTCAGTGATCAATAGTAATAGAATTCGTCACTGTCTAGCATGTGTTATATTCATCACAAGATTGACTCAGCTCACTGATCAAAACAAAGCTTTGATAGGCTGTAGTAGGAATGTTACCAATTCTGGCCAGAGGATCCATAAAGGAATGGCAATTACCCTCTCCAGAAATCCTATGGGTTACAGGTAAATCATTGGTGATTGTTCAATATTTAGGTAAAGTGGGTATTCAAGGCATTGATAAAAATAGCCGAAACTAGTATCTGAATGTTTGGGCAGGGTAGTTTGCAGCCAGAGTTATCTGTTTCCAACTTCAAAATAAATTTACCTTATTACTATGATTATGTCTCTCAACTTCAAACTCCTTTTCAGTACTTTTACTCATCCCAGTGCCTAGTCAGTCTCTGAGCAGTGATAAGGCTTCACCCCTTTCTCATACTTGACAAAATTCTCACTATCAAACATTCTAGAACTAATCTTATCTTAGGACAATAATAAAGAATTAAAGCCAAGAAATTATGCTGTAATATATTCCTAATAGCACATCTTTGCCCTGGTGAGAGATCCCACTAGATCTTAATCAAGAATATCTGAGAAATGGGCCTCCCCGGTGGCACAGCGGTTGAGCGCTGGGTTGCGAGGCTGCGCGCGGCCTCTGCGGCGCCGGTTCAATCCCCGGCTGCTCCCCGGCCACCGGAGGAGGGTCCCACATGGCGTGCAGACCTCTCCTGCCGCCCGCTGCTCCCCTCAGCAGTGTACTTCGGTCCTTCTGCCTGCTCTGCTCCCCGCTCTGGCTCTGGTGAATTCTCTCACCATCCCGCGCTTCTGACTGTACCCAGTGCATGTATAAACAAAACAAACAAACAAACCAGCAAACAAATAAATAAAGCATGCCTCTATTAAAAAAAAAATAAAAAAAAAAAAGAATATCTGAGAAAGTCTCAGTTCACTTTAAAAACTAGCTAATATTTATTGAGCACTTATTAAGCGCCAGGTGCCAATTGATCTGTAGACCACTGTATCGTAGGGGTTTTATTACCCCCATTTCACAGTTTAAAAAGCCAACTCCCACAGAGTTTAAAAGACTCACCTCAGGTGCCACTATTCCAAGTGTCTGTGTTATTGCTCAATCCCCATTCCAAGTGACCCACAGTCCAGAACTCTTCACCATGAGGATCTTCACTATCTTTGGGGCATCCTCTCCTTTGCCACACAGGCAGGCGTGTGTCTGAATTTTTTCAAATTCTACCTGTTTTTTCAGCATTCAATGATTATTGTTGCTGCTACTGGAATAATTGCATTCTTAAAGCAATCACCAACAGTCTGGAGATCAGGGCCTCTCCAAGTCAGGCCTGAATCCCCAAGTCCCCCCTGGGGAAGTCTCCCATATAGAGGGAGGGAATATACCCAGGGGTCCCCATGCAGCAAACACCAGCAGTAATTCAGGGTTTAATATCCAGAAACCAGATATGTCTAAGGCTAGGGGAGGTGTTCTTAATCTAGCTAAGCTCCAGGCATGTCCAATCACTTAACCTCCCCAACACTCATAACCTTTAAAAAAATTAGGTATTACTGGCTCATTTATCTTTGACTTAAAGGTCATTAGCATGAGTGGGGACAGAATTTGAACTCAGAACTGCCTGTCGCACAATATAGATGAGGAAAGAAGGATAGGAGGAAAAACAGATTCCTGGTTTTCCCAAGCTACAACATTCTTCCTCTCAGAACTCCAGGTACTGCCCATTATCCCGAGGGCCAGGCCAACAGAAGGGAGAATGGTCAAGAATATCCCTAAGGCCTTGCATGCCAGGCAAAAACTCTTCTCTTCTAAGTATAATGCAAATGCTCACTTAGGAAAGACTCAACCTCTAAATATCAGGGGCCTTGGGCAAAACTCTGAGATTCTGCGGTCAGGCTTTCTTCATCTGTAAAGTAGCACCGTGAAGGACAGGCTTTGGAGCACCCTTCGTGATGATGTCAATTGTCTTCTGCTGTAGGCAATGTTGGGGCGCAACAGTGGGGAATCCTCCAGGAAGAAGGACGAAGAGGAAGTTCAGAGTAGGCACCGGTTAATCCCCCTGGGCCGAAAAATCTATGAATTCTACAACGCTCCCATCGTGAAGTTCTGGTTCTACACGGTAAGCATCTTTCCTTTTCTCCTTCCTCATGGGCGACTGGCCCAAAGAGCCCAGGTCTGTTTGTCATGCACCCGTGTGCTTTCCTCTGTGAGTGACACCAGGAGTGCCACACGGGCAGGAATGAGAGCTCCGTGACCTTGCTTTTTCCCGGAGCTTTGCAAGATTCGTGGAGTGTGTGAGGCAGCAGCTGCCACAGCTGCATTTTTCCTCCTCACGGAAAATAAAGGAAATGGTAAAAGTGAGAACCCACAGAAATAGAGGTGAGATGAGTATGAGTCTAGTCTAGCAGGAAAATAGATGTCCCTTTACAAAACACTTCTATGTTCTGGAAGGATGAATGTTAGATCAGAGGTGCTCGTTTTAGACGCCAGTCCTGAGTTTGGGGGCACATTTGGCAGGTAAGGGCTGAGCGGTGTTAGAAAGCGACACCACTGAAGATGGCTAGCATCACTTTGTCACTATTCCCAGTCTGCTAGTGTCATCAAACACCTTTTCTTGTTCTAACACAATTAAATAACTTACAAAACCCAAGCAGCAAAAAACGACTCCAGGCGACTACAATCACAGCAAACATTCAGTAAGCACATTTGCAAACATTGTCAGCCCACAAGATGATAGGCTGTCCCTGAAATAGCCTCCTGATACAGTAGGAAGGACCCAACTGTTGGCTTTCTACTTTTCAATGCTATTTTAAGGTGCCCTCTGGTCCAGGTCATCCCCGCCTCTCCGCAGCCACGTGGAGCTGGGCCACATGACTAACAGGGTGTCTGAATTTGCAGCGTTGCCCACACACAAAACACACTTGAATCAGCAATGGGATAACCCCAGTCTGAGATCCAGATGACTCAAATGACCAGATGAGGCACTTTTTATTGTCTCGCATGCTAGCGCTCAGTGCTGACTTTCTTTCAACGCCTTTCTGGCCTCAGCACTACTGGCTTTGGCCCAGAGTAACTCTGTGGAGGGAAGATGTCGGGGCATGGCAGCCGGCTTAGCGGCAGCCCTGGCCTCTGTCCTCTAGCTGCCAGTGGCACTCCCCACCCTCAAGTGACAACCAAAATGTCTCCAGACATTTCCAAATGTCCCCTTGTGAATAAACTGCCACCAATGGAAGGCCATTGCTTTAAAACATGGTCTGAAAGAGGCTGGGAAATTATCAAAATACAAATGTTAGATTTTTTTCTTTTTAGTAACATAAAAGTTCAAACTATTAACATAAAAAAATTCTCCCACAGGAAAAATAAGGTGTGTAAAAATCATTTCTATTTATATACTTTATACAGATATATATTATTTTTGCCTCAATAAAACTAATTAGTGATGACAAGCATGGGTTTTGGACTCAAATGCCCTAGTAGAAACCCTGTCTGTGTCCTAGTATTATTATGCCACCATGCACAAGTTACTTTAACATGCTGACCCCAGTTTCCTTCAGAGCGGATAAGAATAGTACCTACTTTGTAGGGTTTAATAGAGATTAAGTATGGTAAACTATGTAAAGCACTTAGAACAGTGCCCAGAACACATAAGCACAGACCAGCTGTGGCCAATATTATTCTAGACTCATCACATGCGCAGCAATACCCAGTGTTTCATTCATCCATCCACTCAGCAATAATGACCTTAATGAGCGCCAACTCTGAGGCACTCTCGGTGTTCTATACATACTCTCTCTAACCTCACAACAGTTGCATCTAGATAATATTTCTGCATTTAGTTTCTGCATTTGCTAATTAGTTTTCTTGAGGCAAAAATAATATATATCCATATAAAGTATACAAATAGAAATTATTTTTACACACCTTATTTTTCTTGTGGGAGAATTTTTTTATGTTAATAGTTTGAACTTTTATGTTACTAAAAAAAAAAAATCTAACATTGTATTTTGATAATTTCCCAGCCTCTTTCAGACCATGTTTTAAAGCAACGGCTTTCCATTGGTGGCAGTTTACTCACAAAGGGACATTTGGCAATGTCTGGAGACATTTTGGTTGTCACTTGAGGGTGGGGAGTGCCACTGGCAGCTAGAGGACAGAGGCCAGGGCTGCCGCTAAGCCGGCTGCCATGCCCCGACTGCCACACCCAATTCTCTCCTTTCTCTACTACTAGACTGCCCCGATTGTCTCCACCAGAACAGGGTTTGGCAAATGACAGCCCACAGGGCCCATCTGCCCCAGTGCCTATTATTGTAGCCTATGAGCAAAGAATGGTTCTGATATTATTTAAATATTTAAATAAAATCAAAAGGGGAATCCTTTGTGGCACATAAATGTTATATGAAATTCACATGTCAGTGCCTGTAAAGTTTTAATGGAGCACAGCCAGAGTCACTGGTTTCCCTATAACCTGGTGCTTTTGTGCTATAATCACAAAGCTGGGCAGTTGCAGTAAAGACCATCTGGCCTCCAAGACCTTAAGGATTTACTATTGGACCATTTAGAGAAAAAAGTTTGTTGTTCATTAAAACATGGTTAAAGAATACCAAGAATGACCTAAAAAGAATTATTTATCTCTTAAGAGCAGACTACTCACTTCCCTTTGCAAGGTACGTTTCTCTTTTTTTCTTATCTGTGCTCAGTATTCATTTTATTTCCTCAGTTCCTCTAATGTCCATTTATTCAGCTGAGGCAATTTGTTAGGCAAGGATGTTTTTAAATCATAATTGCCCTCATTGGTGGAGCTCAGCCACATATGTTTTTAAAAAACATGGCTACCTGAGTTCTAGCCCCAGGATGCTGCCATCACTGGCCTGGGGCATAGGGCTATCTCAAATCTCCCAGGCTGCAAGGAGCAGCGAGGTTGAGAACCACTGCCTCAGATAGAGAGGCCTGTTTTTGTCCCATTATTTCCCAAACTTCCATGATGATGTGGATTTTTGTTTGCAAATTTGTTTTTGTTTGCAAATGCAAATTTCTGCCCCCCACAAACCCACTAAATGAAATCTCCAGGGAGGTGTCTGAGAGGCACTGTGTTTACCCCGGTGAGGCTTATGGTCAGGGAAGCCTGGACACAATGCTTTGCTGGTATCATTTGTGGATGCCAAGCTGTGAAGCCGCCATTTGGGGGCGTGAGGCCCATGTACCCAGCTCCATTCAACGTGGCTGCCAGCATCACCCTCACAAACCCATCAGAGTGGAGGCCCCAACCCTGTTCTGCTGTGTTGACATAATGTGCCTTTTCAGCAATCCACAGTTATGTGTTATCCACAGTTATCCACAGAGCCCAGGCCTCCAGGAAGTGAATGGAGATGAGGTATGCTGATCTTCAAAATCCTCAGAGATACCTAACAACAAAATTCAGCTTTACGTTGAAGGTCACACTTGCTTTAGGTTGATCTCTGTAAGTGTATTTCCCACTCTGACTTTCAAAGGTTCTGAAAGGCAGGACACACCTCGTCACCACATACCTCGCTTCCATATCTTAGCAAGTTTCCCCAAGGAGTAGCTTGGGTCCCCTTCTGTTCCATGAAGAAGGTGGGCAGACATCCAACTGGCTCCCAGATCCGCTGTGTGATGAGAGCCCATTTCAAGTGCCCAGCTGGAGATCATGCCAACGTGAGGCACGGAGCCCACTCAGTGGCGACAGACTACTTCCTCTGCTGATACCCACCCCCTCTGCTCTCCAGGGGCTCGTGAAGCCCCACCAGCAATCCACAGGGAACTGCTACAGGCTTTGGTGCTTGCATTTCATAGTGCAGGGACCAGGCATCTTGGTTGATGGAAATTTTATAAAAAGAATATGTAAGCAAATAAAATACAAATTTCCATAGGATCCCCACTGATTGAAGTAAGAATCAAAAGGTCATCCTTCTGTTCACAGCTTGTTAAAGCTTACAGAATATCTACGTGTGTGGATATGTGCACATTCATGCACTCACACACAAGCACATCATGTTAAGGTAACCCAAGTCCCCCCATGGTAGCCAGCTCCCAGACAGGCTGCTCCCCAGACAGCAGTCATTCTCCGCTGCACCATTTAAACATAGTTAGTCTTAGTTTTGGAAATCCGAATTTTGAGAGTAGCCCCTAAATATTATATTGCAGCTTGATTATGGAAAGAAAAGGTCACTTTAGAGTCAACTGCGATTTACAGAAGAAGTAGGAGCTAAAAATAATGATAGTGAAAGAAGTATAAACAGTAATGAGAACAATTTTTAAAAGAAACAGGGAGAATAGGTAGGAATACTTAAGAGGGGATCAAAAGGATGCAAGACCTAGGGTAAGAGGAGAAAAGAGGAATAGATGTTTCTTAAAAAAGAAGGTAAATAATAAAATTAGGCACCATATGGTAGATTCATTAGACAGCCACTCTGTATCAGGGGAGACACACACACACACACACAAATCTCTCAGGTGGAGAACGAGCCCCTGCCAGGTCTCCAGCATCTACCTACTCTCATGCGTCCACACTTGATACCAGGGAGCCCCTAAGTATGTTCACCCTTGAAGAGACTGGCTCTGTAAATGCCTCAATAATAATATCTTTGATTCATATTAAGTATCTACTTATTCATTTACTAACAAGAAAAAGAGAGGGGGTGACTGTAAGTAGAGAAAATAGCATTTTTTTTCTAGTGCTATAGGGCTGCTGGGTCCCCTGCGCACTCCCAGCCAGACTGCAGCTTGCTCCACGGTGTAAGCTGCCCCCAGGGCTCCGAAGTCATTGTACCTCCAAAGCCCTCAAGGCTTTAATCCTTTCACCCACACTGTGTCCTTCTCTGCTCTGAGCCTCTGCAAAGTGCAGAATATTGGAATAAACTCACTTTTGGTTCCTACTTACTGCTTCTGAGGCCCCTAAAGCCCGCAAGTACCTTATTCAACCTGAATCATTGCCCAGAGAGGATTTAGCTCTTATGCCATTTTCTTCAGGGTAAATCTTTTTTTCCAGAGGTTTCTCAGTCCCTTATGCAAGAAGCTCACCAGCCCTCCTGGACCCCACTCATCTGATATAACTGGGTCCTCTAATGACAGTCACCCAACCTGAAACTTGAGGAATTATCCTGGGACACTCAGTCAGTCATATTGGGGTTCAAACGATGGTGCTAGATCCTCATGAGGATTAAACCTCACTCCAAGTCACATCAACTGCAGACACTCATTCCTTTCTATAAATGGCTTTGTCTTCTCTTGTTTCAAAGAAGCAGAAATCAGAAAGGAATAGCCTAAGTTAGGGGTGGAAGGTGGTGCAATGGAAAATAGGTAAAATGGGTCCAAGGTACTGCCCAGTTAAACACATTAAGGTAGGAGAAAAAAGAAGACATTAACTCAGAAGAGAATGAAAGTGGAGCTTCCAGAATAAAGTCTGGACTATTTTTATGTTGGTTTGAACAATTTACAGTTATAGCATGTGTCTCCTTTCTCTTGGCTATTGAAGCAGCCTGGCATTCACCAGGCAAAGATCCTACTGCTGTCCTAGTTCAAGAACCTGAGGCTCCTGCATGAACAAGAGCAGGCTCTTAAAGGAGAGGTTCCCTTTTTTAGCCAGAAGACACGAGAAACTAGGTACTTGCAAAACAAAATGATGCATCGTGACACAGGCCCAAGCAAAGTACTGTATCCTAGAAATACATTTAAGCATCAAAAGAAGATTGCATATTAAATTATTTCAAAGATTGCTGTCTTTTTCTTTTTTATTCATTTGATCGTTTAGAGCTTTTAAGTTCACTAGAATTCCGAGTCCTTGCGCTGACCTTGTGCTGTGCTGTGGGTACAGTGGCCTTGCCCAAGGGCAGGGCTCCAGCCTTGCAACCAGAGCTCTGTATTGTGTTTCCTGACAGCTGGCATACATTGGATACCTGATGCTCTTCAACTACATCGTGTTGGTGAAGATGGAGCGCTGGCCTTCCACCCAGGAATGGATCGTCATTTCCTACATTTTCACCCTGGGAATTGAAAAGATGAGAGAGGTAACCAGAAAGGAAAAGAGAGGTTTCTGTAAAGGAAAATATAGGAGAAAGACAGTGGCTGGTTACATATACAAATGGAGGGAGGTGGGGATGCTTGGGATCCCAGAAACTTCATGTTTCCTCTAATGCTGCCAGAGACACAATGCACTTGACATTGAGGCTGCTTCTTTCCTTCTTTGACCAAGCTAGGCAGGCTTCCTGGGTGTCGTTAGAGGGCTGGCATTCCCGAGTGCTTTAGGATTTAGTCTGTTTTCTGCAAACATAGTTCCTACCCCAAGAAAGCCCTCAATCCTCTTTGTACTATTTATACATCTCTTTACTTGTCCCTATAAACATGACTTTTTACATGTATCCAATTTTTCAAGAATTCAATTTTTCCTCCTCTTAACTCCCATAACAAGCCCTTTCTCGGGGTGTCTTTGGACACTGCCCAGCAATACTCCAGATGCATTTCAGCCACACTAGGAGGGACTATACTTTGAATCATTTATTTATTCTCTGGTCTATTCCCTCTCAATATTTACACACACTTCTGGGCGCCAGCCTCTCCTTTAGCCCCAAGTATCACCGAGATGAAATAAATCTATTTCTCTTCTCGTCCTTCAACTCGAGGAATGGGGTCCCTCTCATCTCCTCCCGCCCCCATTACCTAAAAGGAACCATCATAACGCCACCCCCAGCTGACTTATTTCAAGGCAAAACTAACCTCAGGGGCCCTCAGATTCAGTCACTAAATGCATGTGAGGAAACAACAGTCCACCAGGGGGCTCTGCAGCCCCGCCCAGCACAAGCCGCGAGTCCCATCCCAGCCAGAAGCCCTGGAGAGGGCAGGTCTGTGAAGTCTGACAATCCCTCCACATTTCCCCTGGAACTGGAGGCAGCAGAACAGGCCTTTTCTGTAAGAATTGCTGCCTTTCAAGTCCATGGCACCCTCGAGAGCTCTGGAACAATCCTATTCCCTGAACTGTTCCCTGTGAGTAGAAAATATATTGGGCTGCACAGAGAAAAGGATTCATACCAATCCATAAATTCACGCTGGCTTTCATTACTAAGACAAGTTAAAAGGCCCTTAACGTTTGGGTTTCAGCTCTAGAATGTTCTCCTCCAGAGACAAAGATGCATTATCTATTGGATGCAGCCCTGCTAGAATCTCTATATCCTTAGTATATGTATATATTATATATAATACATATTATATTCAGAGCCCTTATGTACTTTTATTTTTTTAAAGATTTATTTATTTATTTATTTATACAAGCACTGGGTACAGTCAGAAGCACGGAAGGGTGAGAGAATTCACCAGAGCCAGAGCAGGGAACAGAACAGGCTGACTGATGAAGTATACTGCTGAGGGGAGCAGCGGGAATGGCAGGAGAGGTCTGTCGCACCATGTGGGACCCTCACCGGTTGCCAGGGATCGAACCAGCGCTGCTGAGGCTGCGGGCAGCTTCTCAGCCCAGTATTCAACGGCTGCACCACCAGGGGAGGCCCCCTTATGTACTTTTAAACTGCTTTGGGGATGTTTAAATTCTAACCAGCATGCCCTCATACTGAGAGTTGGGGTGTGGCTACACTGGTCTCATTTTATAAGGGACTGGATTTTTTTTTAATGAATACCTTATCTTGCCTCATTTCAGCTAGTTGTCCACACATGGGTCTTCCCATTCATAACGCCTTCTACTTCCTCCCCACTATTGTGTATTTCCCATTTGTAAACTGAAAAGCAGCCATAAATTTGCTTTGGTCTTTGTGTAGCTCTCTGAGAACAGAGCCTGGTGCCACGAAAGGCCCTGTGACTGTGAAGTGCCAGCCCGCCCTCTTGTATTTAACGCCCAGATGCATATTCCTTCCCCATGATAAGCAGAAAAGGAAAGACTTGAGCAGGGAGATTGGACTCTCTCCAGGGACTAGACTGGAAGAAGACAGGGAGCAGTCTGTACTCCACGGACTGTTCTGGAAAAGACTGCCAAATAGGCAGGCTGCCAGGAACCTCAAGGCCTGGATATCCATTTCTCCTGAGGCGGCATATAATAGCAGAGAGGGCAGGGCTTTGGAGGCTGGGGTCAGCGGGGGTTCAACCCCAGAGCCCTTGCTTCTGTGGGAGCTGTGGGGAGGCCGGCACTGACCACTCAGTGTCTGACATTTTCTTCTTCGGCCCAGTGAGGGAGCACCTTTACCCCCACTCCATGTCCCATTAAAGAGATGTTCAACCAGCAGGGGGTGAGGACCCCACAGTCTATCTTCATGTTGTCTCAAAGGCAGACTCAGGCCCCCAAGACTTCAGATGCAAGATCTGGGAAATGTGGAAAAGCTTATGCACTTCCTTGCCACCCGAGGGACACACAGGAGGGCTTTGTGGTTTCAGATGTTGCCTCCCATTCCCAGCACCACATACTTCTGCATACAGTCACCAAAACCAGCCACTGTAATCCCTTAATAGCATGGAACTGCTTACAATTGTGCTTTGGTAGATGTTATCTCATTTGGTTTCTCCTCCCCTGAACTGTGAGGCAAATGGGCGGCTGTTGTAACATCCTCACTTCCCAGATTTGGGAGCTAAGATTCAGGGATTCAGCAAACTTTCTGCCTCCCACAGCTGGAAAGGACAACCAAGTCGTAAACCTAACTGATTCCTCCCAGGCTCACTTGCTCTTTCCACCCCAGCCATGGGATTCAGTCTGCAGGTCTCCTCAGCCCCAGGATCCTCAGAGCTGTCTGAGCTAGTGGAAGGCTCAGGTGGTAGTTGGCATTTTTTAGCGATAGGGTATTTTTTAATTAAGTCATGTACATTGTTTTTTGTGGTTTTTTTTTTTTTTTGGACATAGGCTTACGTAATAGACTACAGTATAGTGTAAACATCACTTTTATGTGCACTTGCAAACCAGAAAATTCCTGTGACTCACTTTATGGTGATATTTTATTGTGGTGGTCTGGAACCAAACCTGCAATATCTCTGAGGGGTGCCTACAGTGAAGATATTTTTATGAAGCTCAATATAAAAAGAGACATGATAGCCAAGAGGCTTGGGTGAAGTGGGGGTGAAAAGCTGAGGCCCCACCCTGCTCCCTTTCTCTTCTCCAGCTGCTAATAGAAAAAAAAAAATGTAGTACTTGCAAAGTGCACTGGGATGAGGTATGCCTCTATTTAAAAATGAAACCTCTGCATTAACCAGCTTTAGGGAAGTCTGGGCAAAGGGCTAGGCATTCCCTGTGCCACCCCCAGCCACATTCAGACATATTTTTGCCATTCAGACCTGGGCGGTGAGGACGGAATAGTGGGACACCAGCCGCTGCAGGAATCCCTGATGGGAGGACAGGACAGTCTTTCTCAGCCTCACCCACACAACCTGGGAACTTGTTAGCAATGAAAACCATTGAGCTGCACGCCTTGAGCTGCTTTTCTGCAAGCAGAAACTCTAGAGGTGAGGTCAGCACTCTGTACTTTGACCAGCCTCCAGGTAATTCTGGTGCATGTTGAAGTTTGAGAAACCCACAGCTAGGATTTAGAAGTGAGGATCCCTAAACAGAGGATCCACTACACTGACTACAGAGGATGAAGAAGGAAGCTCCCTGGTGATCCTGGCCTCCTGCACAGCCTTCCAAGCCCCAGTCCTCACTCACAAACAACCCCCTTCCGTAGATCTCAGGACAGGGTAAACCACAAAACGGGGCATGAAGATGCAAATAAATATTCGCAGGTTAGAGTTGTCCCCAGCCTTTTCTCTCCTCCGCTTGAGAGGTCTGAGATGGGAAAGGGGTGGTCTATGGCTGGAGGAGGTGGACGTCTCAGGAGCAAGCACAGAGGTTCAAGAAGGCAGCCCCGCCACTGCACCACACCAGGTCAGCCTCCCAGACTCCCACATCCTGGGGCAGGCTGCAGTGCAGAATGGTGTCAATGCCCACCACTCAGCTGTAGATTTCACAGGTGTGATGGCAAAAAGACCCCCTCTAGGTTTAAGGTAAGTCAGAGTCCCACCCAGCAGCTAAGATACACACGGACAAGACAACCGCTGTGAAGTGCCCATGCAACAAGCAGTCAGTCAACAAACACTGTCTATGAGTGTCAGGTCCTGGGAAACAAAGGGTCTGCCCTCAGTTTACAATCAAGTAGAGAGAGATGATAGGTGATAGACAGTCAGACAGATGGACAGAAAAATAGAGGCATGCATGGAAAGGTGATAGATGATGCACACACATGCCTGCAGAAGAGAATTTCAAATAGTGATAAAATCTTCAAAAAAATAAAGTAAGGGCATGCATGAGAAAGTGACTGCAGGTGGATGGTCAAGGGAGACCATCCTTGAAGGGGAAATTTCAGCAGAGACATCAAAGGAGAAGGAAAACCAGTCATATAAACTTGAGAGAAGAAAATGCCCACAATGAGGAGCGAGTGCAAATGTCCTGCACATAGAGTGGGCTTGTTACACTTCAGCACAGGCACTGCAGGGTAGGGAATGGGGAGGTCATGGTGGGACATGAGGTGATTCCACTAGAAGAAGTTTAAATCTTTCCATCTTTGTAATGGAAGCAGTCAGGTTTGCATATTCAATTATAATTTTCTTTCATTTTTGTTGCTGTTCATATATCTCTAAAGTCTCTCTTTTTAACATTGAGATATAAGTAATGTTAGAAAATGAACAACTCCTGGGCCTCCCTGGTGGCGCAGCGGTTGAGCGCTGGGTTGCAAAGCTGCCAGCAGCCTCTGCAGCGCCGGTTCCATCCCCGGCCAACAGGCGATGGTCCCACATGGCGTGCAAACCTCTCCTGCCGCCCGCTGCTCCCCTCAGCAGCGTACTTCATCAGTCTGCCTGTTCTGTTCCCCGCTCTGGCTCTGGTGAATTCTCTCACCCTCCCATGCTTCTGACTGTACCCAGTGCTGGTATAAATAAATAAATAAATCTTAACAAAAAAGAAAATGAACAACTCCTCCTAGGCTAGAACTTGTTGAAGTTTTACCTACTCACACAATTGTGTTATCACTACCTGAATCCTGGCTTAGGGCTTTATTAGTTTGATTTGTTTTTGTTATTAATATTTCATTATTGAAACATGCTTTCCTACTCTAAGGAATTTACAGCCAGAACCAGAAGGTAAAATGTGTACTAAAAATAATATAGTTCAATAAAGAAAGCATCATTTCCAAGGAGATATTCTGTCCCTCACAGAAAAGAGAACCCCTAAAAGGGGTCAGAGGAACCCGTCTTCAGATGATCTGGCTTCCTTGCCCCTGACCCATGCCCCCTTTACATTTAAACTCTAATGTTGTGCCCTCCAGAGCTCTCTCCTGAGGTCAACAGATTCTGTCCTGTTACATTCTTCTAGGAATGTTCTATCTTCTTCCTTAATTAGAACCTGACTGCACCAGGCCCAGTGCAAATGGCTTAGGTTTTTAAAGATCATTCTGAGGGCTGGTCAGAGAAAAGACAGGGTCTGGTGGGAATCATGGCAGGAAGGATACCAGTTAGAAGGCTGCTACAATCATCTGGGAGATGTGATGGGGCTTGGAATAGAGTGGCAGCATGGAGGTGGTGAGAAGTGGTTACATTAGGTTGTATTTAGAAATTAAGGTGATTGGACATTTTGGTGCAGGGGATGTGGTGGAGGAGTCCTCCTAAGTTAGTGGACTGAGTAACTCAATATGGCAACTGTTTATTGAGTGAAGGGGGGTTTTAGAGATGGCAAGACAACATGAATCAATCATTTTATATAGCAAAACCTTAATGTGTGTATCAGAATTGTAAGACAGACAAATTGATTGCTTATATCTGCCTCTGGAATATTTGAATCTGGATAACCTAAGCTTTAGTTCAGTTGCACTTCCAGGAGATGTAGGCAAACAAAATAAACACCAATATCCACTAATAAACCAAGCGCTTTCTAACTGGGCTGGAAATAGAGACCCAAATCAGACCCAACTGCACTCTCTTTTTTCCTGCCTTTTAGATTCTGATGTCAGAGCCTGGGAAGTTGCTACAGAAAGTGAAGGTGTGGCTGCAGGAGTACTGGAATGTCACTGACCTCATTGCCATACTACTGTTCTCCGTGGGAATGATCCTTCGTCTCCAAGACCAGCCCTTCAGGAGTGATGGGAGGGTCATCTATTGTGTCAACATCATTTATTGGTACATCCGTCTACTAGATATCTTCGGCGTGAACAAGTATTTGGGCCCATATGTAATGATGATTGGAAAAATGGTAAGCACAGTCCAGTCCTCTGACTCCATGTTATAAGTTCTCAGAGGTGGAGTGGAAAATAATTCATTTGGGTTTGCCATCAGTGTCTGACTGAGATGGCCCTGGGGTGCTTTATTTTTTAATTCCTTCTGAGTGGTTGGGAGTTTGACTACATCTATATACATAACTAGAGAATTAACTATCACTCCCCATTCCCTACTAACTGACAAATACATATATATTAACATCATCTATTTTGTACCATATGCTTGACTAGGAGTTGGGTATAAAAAGATTCTCATTCCATAATATTGATGATGAAAGAGAGAAGTCAGTCTCGTGTAGTGTGAGCAGGCTGTAATAGAGATATGTATAAAGTATAACAGGAGCAAAGAAAAGAATATTAGGTAGAGAAGGCTTCCCATGAAAGCTGACTCTTGACAGGATTTTGGAAAAGTGGGTCTCCACTCCAAATTTTTAACAGATTCTTTTTTAAATGAAGTTCTGAAAAATGCCTTTCTCTAAGCAAAGGGAAGAAAAACATCATTTATTTGAATCGGGTTGAACTTGTGTTGAACATTTAGGTTGAGTTTGTGTTGAACATTAGGTTGAGTTTGTGTTGAACATTAATTTCTATAATACATCATGTGTTTTGTTACACTGCAGAAGATGATTAACAAAAAAATGCTGTCTGTTAAAAACTAGGTTCTAGAATGATGCTCCCACTTGTCTTATTCTTAAAAAAAATAAGAATCCCAAGTGGCAAACTAATATGCCTCCCAACATATGGCTATGGACTTGTTCCAACTCTCCTTGACCAGACACCAGTTTCAGACTGTCTCCAGAGACTGAGCCCTGGAAGGATAGCATCTGTGTGCACAAGTGAACAAGCTCCTTCTCCAAACTCACCAGAGAAAGAATTAGAGCCTCATGCTCAGAAACTGGGTACTTTTAGTTATCCTGATTCTCTAAGTGTGTCCCCTACTACACCTTTATAGGACATATATGGAAAAGCCAAACATGCCCTTCTACTCAAAAACCTCTTTGCCAATAACCTCTACTGCATTTCCATTGTCTGGGCTATTGAAACAAATAATTGGTCAGTAGATGGCCTTTATCATTTCTACTCAACTTTTACTACATACATCATTGCTGTTGGCCTTTCAATCAGCAAATCAATATTGTGTGTGTGTGCCTCTGTGTGTGTGTCTGTATATGAAAAATTCCACTGAAATGAATGTTAAATAACCAAGGCAAAAGCACTGATAAACTCTGCCAAAGGAGGGAGAATTTGAATCAATAATGAAGGGGCTATAAGACCTTGAGTAATTTATTTAACCTCTTTGAGACTCACTTTATTCATTTCTAAAGTAGTAATAATAAATGCCTATCTCATAAAGTTGTTGCAATGATTAGAGATAGCACATGAACTAGACAACAGTGCCTGGCTAATAGTAGGTAGCTGATCAAATGTCTGTTATTATGCTCATACTATGTTTGTTAATGCAAACATATTCTGCTCTATGCCTAACCCTTTTGTATAAAAGGTTGGTATTTATGAGATCGGTGTTATTTAGGAATAATGTCACCATGCTCAGTCTAGAGAGGAAAAGCTTGAATTCAACAAGCTTAAGTTACTTACCCTATTGGGGGTTTCCGGCTAAAGAAAAACATGTATCTTGCTTTGTTTCACTGGCTGTTATATCATCTTCTTTTTACTTCAGTAATGAATTTGAGATGATGGTGAAAATTCCTGTCTGAAACCAGATTCTCAACTTAGAGTCTATGGAAAAGATTTAGGAGAGAGCAGATCTGTGGACCCTCCACTGAATTTATATATAAAAATGTGTAGGCGTATGAATTTTCTGGGCAGAGAGAACACAATTCCATGAGATTCATAAGCATATTCTCAAGTGGACCCAGTGAAAGTGAAGAACTATAACAGCTGTAAAATTAGGCCAAAATTTCTCAACCTTGACGCTACTGATATTTTGGATTAGATAATTCTTTACTATGAGGAACTGTCCTGTGCTTCATAAGATATTTAGCAGCATCACTGGCTTCTCCCCCACTAGAAGCCAGTAGTGCAGTGTGCACACATGCACACACACATGCATGTGCACACACAATATGACAACACAAATGTCTCCAAATATGTCCCTTGGGGGGCGGGGCAGGAAGGGAATTACCATCTGTTGAGAACTACTGTATTTATTACACAACTACATGATCTGATTGGTTGTTTTTTATTCCTAATTGATTGTTACTTTATTTCAGTAAATAAAATCTGAAAAAAAAAATCCAAATGTATTACTTTAAAAAGATTGGGTGACATTTAAATACCTGAAATAACTGAAGTCACACGAAAGTAGTGAGATTATTTTAAAATCCATGTCTATCATTTTAATAATGGCATAATTATCCCCAGTTTTGACTCAAATGAAAACTTACTTATGGAGCGAGCAAGAGAGATGTACTACATTTTCTCCACCTTCTAACTTATGAATGACTTCACTTATCAGTCAAGAATAAGTAGAAAATGAGTATATTCGGGGGCTTTGTTCTCTTTCATGGGGCTCTTAAGATAATTAGCTCAATAATTGAGTCACTGATCCAGAAAGTAGGTAAAATATGCTATAGAATTTATCAGTGAGCAAGATAGACTAGCAGGCTGCAAGCTTAAGGAAAAATGCCCAGATGTGATTATTCTGAAAGGCCTTCAACATTACAGAGCCCCTAATCAGTACTGAACAGCCAAGTAATTCATTCTGCCCTGTGGTCTAGGGACAGAGCTGCTGAGCTTCCCGGACACAACAATGATCAGGAGTCCACTATGAAATCGCTTCTATGAGTCTTAGCATTATATAAGAAACAAGTGCACCAAATGCCTCCTCCCAGCATGGAAAGCATACTCTCCATTGTGATTCAAATTGATCTGCAGGTCCTGACCCCTTTCCTTCATGGTGTACTTCCAAATGAAATTCTCTAAGTCTCAGCCTAAACTAAGTTCAATACTGCAAAATAAAAACAAAAATAATAAGTTATTATTTACTATGTGCAAATACCACATCAGACATATCATCATCATTACAACCCCATGAAATAGGTTTTTATTATCTTCATTTAACAACTAAATAAACTGAGACAGGGCAAGGAACAAAGCCAAGATTCAAACTCCAACCCACATCTCAGCTTTGTTCTAACTCTAGTAACACTGAATTAAAAAATGACCACATTAAATACATCATGTTATCACATTTAATCCTTACCCAAAAAAGATGCATTATTATTGCTGTGATAACCCCATTTTACAAATGAGAAAAACAAGGCCACCTTACTGTTTTTACTAGCAGAGTCAAGATGAAAATTTAGATAATTCAACACCTGAGCACACGTGTTGTTAACCACTACAGCTTTTACTCTCCTCTAGAGAACACAACCAAAGGACATTTACATTTACATAAATGAGACAAATTCACCCCTCTTAACATTGAACCAACTGAAGAAGTTAGATTTAAAAGCAGAGTTAGGGCCTCCCCGGTGGCGCAGCGGTTGAGCACTGGGTTGCGAAGCTGCCCGCAGCCTCTGCAGCACCGGTTCGATCCCCGGCTGCTCCCCGGCCACCAGAGGAGGGTCCCACATGGTGCACAGACCCCTCCTGCCGCCCGCTGCTCCCCTCAGCAGTGTACTTCGGTCCTTCTGCCTGCTCTGCTCCCCGCTCTGGCTCTGGTGAATTCTCTCACCCTCCCGCGCTTCTGGCTGTGCCCAGTGCTTGTATGAATAAATAAATAAATCTTAAAATAAATAAATAAATAAATAAAAGCAGAGTTAGCCAGCCTCAGTTCTCCACTCCACTAGGTTTCAATATTTGTATGGAAGCTAAGACTTCTTTGAAATATATGAGGCTGAGTATTTGGGGAAAAAAGTTTCCTCTTGTTGACTGTTTTCAACATTTGGATAGATATCACAATCAAATCTGAGTGAAAACAGTCCTGAGAAATTAAATTACAACGGTTGCTGTATTTACTGGCTGTGTTTTCTTGGGTCAAGTTCCCAAATCTCATGAGTACATATTTTCCTCTCCCCCATCTTTCAATCAATCTAAATAAACATAATATGAGGGACCCACTTGTGTTTTCCCATTAATAAAACTTCTTGTAAATAAGTGGTGAAAGAATTTTACAAAAAAAGAAAGGATGAAAACAGATACATGTTTCCTATAAAAAATGTTTCAACACAGCTGGTTTGCTCGTTTTAAGAGAGTTCGGAGGCCACCAAGTTGTGAAAGGGATGGCTGACTAACTAGCACGTATTTATAAGGACAGTGAACAAATATTGAGAAACTTTTGTTTAGTTTCAAAATCAGACAATACTTGAGAGATGGATTTAATAGTTACCCTAAAAATCGATTAACTGGCCTAAAATATACTGAGCCCCCAGTGCACTGAGGTATGCAGGAAGATAGTAATGTTTTAATTCCAATAACAGGCTCTATAACTAATCTAACACTGACATTATTGTTGAATGGGCATCCTTTCGGGAAGTCTGATCTTCAGGCGAGGGTAGGGTTCTTTTTTGTATTAGATGGTTTGATGCAATGAATAGACACCAATCTTCACCTAGCTTAAGCCCAAAAGGACTTACAGCAAGGCACGATGGAAAAGACTTTACACATTACAATTACATCCACAATTGCATATTACAATCACTGTCTGAACTCTCTCTCTCTCTCATTCATATTCTCTCTCTCTCTCTTTCTCTCCTACCCTAGCCCCTTCTCTTTCTCTATCTGTTTTGTTTCACTAGAGAAGCACTCACTCTCAAACACTCTCTCTCCCAACTTCAGTTATAAAACATCAAAGAGAGGATTCTGGTTGGCCAGTCTGTGTCACCAGTCTACCTCCCTTCCCTGTGGGCCGAGAGTGAGGTGCCATGATTAAACCATGCCAGAAAAGACACTTATCTTTGTGGCCAAAATGGGTGGAAACTGTTTCTAAACAAAAGAGGTAATGAGTTAGGCAAAACAGTAGTTACTACATGTCCTCTAATTTTGATGATAAAAGGAAAGTAATTTGACTTATGAAAAGCAGATCCCAAAGAGCACGTATTATGAAAAGAACAAAAAAGAAAGGACTAAAGAAGAACAACAGATGCCATTGTACTTGAATGAAGCCCAGAGAATTTGATGAAGGCATCAAGGTGAAAATTCAGCGTTTCAGCAGGGGGCACAGGCATGGTCTATTAGACTGTCTGATGCCTAAGAGAACCCCTTCTCTCCCTCTCTCAACTGATAGGGTGCACTGCAGGAGAAGTAAGTAGAGTGATTCTCTGAGACTGGTTTGTAGTTGGATACCACGCAATGAGGTGGGGCCACAAGAATAACATGGTATTTGACGGGTATTTGCTGACTTAGCTTTGTTTACAAATGATTATTTCCTTAAACTTGTCAAGTTGTCAATCGCCTTTTAGAACTTCAGAAATTTCACAATATCACAATAGTTCTTGAAATAATTCAACTACCCCATTTCCAATTTTACTAAGAAAACAGAGACCCTAAGAGGGCATTTGTCTCCCCCAGGAGCAGAGAAAAGTTACCAGATATATAGAGAGACTCAAGCTTCTATGTTACATGCCTCCAACATATCTTACCTAGGTCCCACAGATAGCAATAGAAAATTTAATGATTTTTGAGTTACTGATAAGATTCTGTGGGTTTCATAGACCAAGTGTCCTCTTGTCTGGATACAGCTCCCTATATTCCTCGTCAGCTGGTCTCCCTAGTGAACCTCCTTTGTCCATCGATGTCACCATTTATAGGAATGCTCCCTCTTACGAGTTTTCTTCTTTTTCTCCCTCCCCTTGTCCACCCTTCAGATGATAGACATGATGTACTTTGTCATCATTATGCTGGTGGTTTTGATGAGTTTTGGGGTCGCCCGGCAAGCCATTCTCTTTCCCAATGAGGAGCCATCCTGGAAACTGGCCAAGAACATCTTCTACATGCCCTATTGGATGATTTATGGGGAAGTGTTTGCGGACCAGATAGACCGTAAGCAAGTTTATGATTCTCATACACCAAAGTCAGGTATTTAACTTCAATTGGGTCATGTCTTTTCCAAGTTCATCTGTTTGTTCTCAATAAATGGCTCAAGATAGAGGACTGATTCCTAGCTTGCTATCTTGGAAGGGGGGGAAAGCAATTATAGAAGGTGAATACATAATTTTAGCAAAGTAGTCCTCAGGTGTTTCTTCAGCTATGTCCTTTCTGTGACACGAATCGACATCTGGTGTGCCAAATTTGATAAAGAAATGAACCATTTATAAAGATCTAAATTCTCTGGGGATTAGAAATCTCAGGGCTATGTGCTGAATATTTCAATATTAGGAATATGTTATGTCACTATTCCCCAGCCTTAACCTAGCCCCCAGCCTTTAAAAAATAAAATCCTTAGGTTTGACTTCAGAACAAATAAACAATTCTCAATTTCGCCATCAGAATTCAAGAGTGAGGGCAAACATCTGCATGGTGTTTTCCTTGCACTGGAAACTATTCTCCAGGTCCTTTTCCCACTGTCTTAAATTATGTGCTATTGAGGCTCAAAAGAAGCTAGTATTCATTGCCTGGAAGTATGGAAAATGCCCTAGGTTATAAACTGAGTTACTGGCTGTAAATGCCAGAAAACAAAAAATAACATCTATATCATGAAGTGATTCAGTGTGGGCAGGCAGTGCCAGCAGGCCCCAATGTCTCATGTCCTAATAGATGCCGAGTCTCTATAATAAACACTCCTCTTGTGTGTAGTTCCAAAATAGTTGTATCCTAGAGTCTGTTCCAGCATTTTATTTGGACCAAATGTCAGGACATACCAGGCTTTGGGAAATGATTTGGGAAGAAAGCACCAGGAAAGAAATATCTTTCAGCCTGGAGAAGCTGAATCCCAGGAGCGACTCTTTCTCATTTTTCCTGAGGTGTTTAGCTCTAGAAATATCATCCCTCCAACACTGATGAATTAACATTTCCAGACATTTTTTGCTGACAGGCCAGCCATCTGGGCCTGGCTATGGACATGGATTAAGGTTACATAACCAGGTACTATAGCTTATTAAGAGCAGGAGCAGAGACTCGTCAGCATCCCTCCACCCACCCCCACCAATCCCAGGCAGGACTGAGACCAGGAAAATCAGGACAAAGCACCGAAGAGTGTTAGTCCTCCAGGCCTGTGAAGAACATGTGTACTCTGGCGAGAACACACCAGTATGCCATTTTTTTTTCCATGATGAATTTTAAACAAATACCATTTCCTTCTCAATGAGTTATCTGAAGCAAGAAGGCGTTTTGGAACACCTAATTGGAACAAATATTCATTGCATGAGACTTGGCCAACTCACTGAGGAAGAATTTTAACTCCACCTCCAAGTCGTAATATCTTTGGTTGACAATGTGCAGCCTTCACCAAAGCTTCCCAGGGACTGGAGGAAACTCTTTTGGGGATCCTCCTTTCAAAATGTCCCTCATGGCAAAACAACACTTAAAAAGGCCACCTGTGATCTTTCTCCTTAGAGATGAAATGTACTGTTTTATTCCCCAAGAAATTGCTTTTTCACTTACATTATGTTGCCTTTTCTAGTTTTCCTTTCTTCCTTCAAATGAGATGAAGCTCCCACGAGTGTTTTGATCATGCATTTTGGGGCAAGAGGAGGGAGAAGTAGCTGGGTTTTTTTTTTATAAATGGGATTCTGTCTGTCCCTCTACGAGTGGCCATTTATTGACGTTGTACTATGAACCCAGCCTAGTGCAACAAACACCGCCATCTGGCTGCCTAAGAGGACTTTTATTGTTATTTGAAAAGAAGGGCTGATTGTAGTTTAGAACTGAAATCCCCTGGGCGATGGAAGAGAGGTGTTTTGTGTGAGTGAAGTATGCAAATAGACTCCCCACATTGCTAATTACCTCTGTGGTGCTCTACCTGTGCAAGAATCAATTTCTACCCTAAATTCTAATGTGCAACTGACCCAGCCTCTGTGACACCCTTCCTCCCCGACTCCCCTCCTTCATGATGGTCTGAAATGACTGCAGTGGCAGTCACTGTTCTAAGCTAAATCAGCCAGTTTTCTGTCTAAAGTGCTAAAGAGTATTTGTCCTTTCTCAAATGGGTATAGAAGGCTGCCTGCAAATCTGTCATGACATCTGGTCAAGGTCATTCTATCCTCTGAATGATTTGATTTTCATGTTATGGTAGTGGGCCCCAGGGGGATCGGGTGACTCCCCCTCCTGGCCGTTCAGAACTTCCTAGAAGGCCCAAGTACCATGCTATTTGAGAAAGGTATAAATCGTTTACACTGCCCTGCGGTGTCTTGCCTCTTCTGTGCCGTGTCCGGATTGGTTGTGAAGCATGTGTTCAGGCTGATGGGATCTCATAGCCACCTGCCCAAGGTCTACCAGTGCCAACCTGTGGATGTGCCCGGTGTGGGCCTTTCCAAGCGCTGCTCATTCGCAAACATGTTCTCAGAGTGACTCATTTCTAACATAATGCACGCGCTCCATATCTAACTCCTTGTTTTTAACTGCAAAATTGCTGCGCCCATTTCATGTTTGGGGAAATACTCTTTCTTTATCGGGATGGGTGTCTGTGGCTCTGTAGTGGGTCCCTAGGGGTGGGTTACTAACATCTGTCTTATACCTCAGAAGAGAGGACAGAATTAATGCCCTCACTTCTGGGAGGTAATATTACCGAACAATGGATTTTTGATGTACATTCCGCTGTTTTTTTTCTTGTACTTTGTCCCAATCCCAGAGACTAGCAATAAGACCAGAAAAGCTAGAATGGGATGTGTAAGGTTACTTTCCAAATGTGCTTTACTATAATCAAAGAAAAGAATGGAGTCATTGTAAAAACCACAAAATAACTTAGATATTTTTCACCTCCAAATCAGATTAGATTAACACGAATGATAGTCCAGCTTTAATCTAAATTATCTGTAGAAGCTAAAATACTTATTTTAGTGTCAGGAGCAGAAGAGAGATCAAGAACATAATTGGAAGCAGAGGAAAATTAAACTGGGAAAGGGACATCACACTTTGCTGAACACCCTGATAAGGGATCGACTTGAACTTGTTGCTGTTGTTTGGTTGATTTTCATTTTTTGTTTCTGTGGTTTTCTGTGTTGTTGTTTTTTTCTCCCAAGAGCCCCAACACATCTCAGGTGCCTGTCATCTGTGTAACACAGGATCTCTAAGACCCAATGCACAGGCTTCCAATGAGGTGACTTGGAGGCTAGGCAGGTCGCCAAATGCACTGCTACCAAATGATGACATACTTTGGAGCCGACTCATTAAGATGACCCATGTGGTGTGGCTTCTGTGAAGCCTGAGGGCAAAGCAGGCCCTCAGAGGAGGAGAGCAGCAGGATAATTTTCCAACATATTCATGCTAACGCTGGCAAAAAGCTAAAATTAGATGGACTCTCTCCTGATGAGAAACCTGGTTCCAGATTCGGTGTGTGAGGTACCTGGCCATACCTTTGTTGGCCAAGAAAATGGCATGTCTCAGCCATCCTCACGCCTCTGAATGAATGAGGTTTCCCTCTATTTACAGGGCATCCTTGCCCTACCTGCCATACACTCAGATTCCCCAGGCTGTACCAGGGCGGGGGGGAAATGAATCATCCTCTTGAAGGCATTAAATAGGGTCTAAATTTAGTCCCTCTTTCTGCCACTCAGAGTCTTTGTACAAGTTTGGGTAGTAATGTTAAAGCAGAATGTCCAAAACTATCTACCAAGATAACTCAATATTACCTGGCCTCTTCCACGCTTCCCAAATGAACTATCCAGTCTACACAAGCATGGGTCAAATATTATTTTTCTCTTACTGTCTAGGGCTTTTCTATATGAAATTCATAGGTAATCCAGAGTAGGAGAGGTTTTAGTTTTGATTGGCTTTTTGTCTGATTTCTTTGTTCATTTATTTATCACAAAAGTTTTGCTATTAAAAAAAAAAATCCTTGCTCTTTTGTGCCCATGGCATCTCTATGAACTTGACTAGATTTAGAGTGTGCTGTTTCTGTCAGGAAACAAGGAGCATGTATGTGCACTTAAAGCTAAAACATTCTCCTGCATGACTTTTCTTCCTCAAAGAATTCGTCCCTCACTTCAGGTGCGGAAATTAGGATAGTTCAAGGCCAGACTCTGAAATATGCCTGCATATGGTGAAACTTAGAACAGCACAAACTAGAGAAGATGGCTATTGTTATGCATTTCAATATGCACACACCAGTTCTGGAAACTCAGGGCCAGTGCATCTGTTTGGTATTCAGGACTGACCTTCTCTAATGAATTCCGAGCACACTAATGCCTAACAGCTATAGCGTGGGGAGTGTTGCCTGGCCAAAGAAAGTATTTTGGAAAAGAGAAACTTGAACCAGTGCCAACTTTTCGGAAAGGGGGTAACTGTTTCGTTGGGCTTTGTTTTGGCAAACTGCTAAGGAAGCTAGCCAATGTGAAGCACCACCCCCATATTCTGCCCCTGAAAGTCAGTTTACATTCTACAGGATACCCACCCAACTTGTTTACTAATGCAATCTGAGACACAGCAGATTTACAAATAGCAGAGTTATGTGCAGAGAGGCCTTTGGGATGATTCAGTATGCTATTGTTCCACTGTTGTAATAGCCACTTAGTCTTTGCTCACAGGTTGGGCTCCATTTTTAACTCATTCATTCTTCATTCAGTGGAGAGTTATTTTGTTCCTACTATGAACTGGACAACAAGATGCAGAGATGCATGGGACAGAGGTGTGGTCTTCAAGGAGCTTACAGTCCAAGAGAGGCAAACTGACATTGACAATATACATGTTGAGATGGAACCCCCCACAATAATCTGCTCCAGCTGAGCTAAGAACAGGGGTATAATGGCTGAAACCTTGCAAAAACTTGGAAGTTTAATTGAATCCTGAAATAGGAGCAGATACTCACTAGGCAGATGGGAATAAAGGGATGAAAAAGAGAAAAATGGCATTCCAAACCGAGATTCAGTGTGGGAATTTCACCCTCA